TTGACTACTAGATGGAGTTGATCTGGAGGAACTTGTGCAAAATTTAGGGAACTTCTTGAAATGGGAGGTCAGGGGTTATTGCTGCTCTTATTGCCGCATGTCAAAGACTCCATACTCATGAGCAAAGGTTTAATATTGTTCCATTCATTTCATCTTTTCTAGGTTTGTATGCCTGTATATTTGAACTTCTGATGTTAATCAACCTGGCATAAACTTATAGTTACTATATTTAATGTCTTCTAGGATGTGCAATTTAAGAGATTAATGGAAATTAGTAACCCATGAACCTTCTCTTGATGTGTAAATTCAAATCTTAATTTTAACCATGATTATGTTTTTTTTCCCTGTTTGGCAGTGTTGTCAGGGTTTGCTGCTGCTGTAGGTTCGACGAATAGCCCCCAAGATCCATCGTTCCGCGTATACTGTTTCTTGAAGTTACCTTAGCTGTGAAGACAAGTCAAATTGGAATTGGCCAAATGGTTTTAGATCCATGCCATTGGTTCTCTGATTCTGCAAGCAGTTTTTAATTTCGAAGTGTATGCAGCCGTTCCTATTCAGTTCTTCTCCCCCCCCCCCCCCTTTCCTTTTCCTTGATTGAATTTACGTTGGTTTTTTAATTGTTGCTATAAATATTAGTTTGTCCATCTGAGGTTAATATGTGTAAAGGAACTTTTTACTTAATAGATATGTTGTTTACATGACACCTCAAAGGAGAGGTAACAAAATCAGTTATATGTTGCCTACAGATTAAGGCATTTACATAATAATGGTGCAATAAGAGGTAGATTTACATTATGTGTGGAAAATTTTGAAAAAAAATGCATGTGTCACATACACAGTATGGTGAAGTGTGCCTCATTTGTACAAAATATGCTGGCAATTCGCATGATGGTAAAAGAACAGATGCTTAGGACTCTGAGACTTGCTTTAAAGATGAGCATTGGACATGTATCTTCTGGAGCTTATTATCAAAGCTTGAACTAGTCTCAGTTTGCTACATGATTTCTTGTTTTAAAATGCCATGTTTTGTGTTTCTGTTTCGCAGGAATTTTACAGCCTACATCACTAGTATCACATCCATGGAAGCTGATCATGTCTTTGAAGCAGCAAAAGATGCAGGGGGAGCACGAGTTATTGAACCTTTTTAGGTTCAAATGCTTCTGGAAACAAAGCACAGATTAATTCTGAAGTATGTAATGCTACTTTATTTGGTTATTCTGTTTCTTTAAGAAGTTCTTACCTATGCTTTTTTTATTATGGAATTCTTAGAAGCACAATTGTTGATGAAAATATTTCGTGCTCTGATGTGAAATGCTATACTCTTCTTGTTGTTATCTCCAGACCACCTCTTTCTAGTGGACTTCAATGTAGAACTCCTATTTAGAAGCAATTCTAATTTAATTCCAATTTGTCATTGTTTAGGCTACGGGACACTTTGGAGAGCTTTCAACGCATTCATCTGGTTCATTTACCGTGGAAAGGTGCTTTACAGCTGGTAGTTTGTCATTAAGAGAGTCCATAGCTCTGAGTTATTAGCGGTTCGAACTGAGTTATCCAAGACAAAACAAGCCCTTATCTCTTAGGAAACTTGACATTGACGGGTGAGATATTATACCTTGTATACTGGTTATCACACTGACCTATTACATGTTTGTTTTTGAATAACTTGGTCTATCTCTTGACTTCATAATAATTATGATGAACAATGCCTAGTCTATACCCATATGTAAGTCCCCACACACCTTAAACTATAGTTAATACATGGAAATATTAAGTGCTGTTTGTTTGGGCTTAATTTCTTATGGTCCATTGTTGTTTTTGATGTTTGCTTGTTCTCTTTTCTTATTACAACAGATTTGCTGCACGGCCTGATCAGTGGAAGTTGAAACAAAGCTCTAAGCAATCAACTTATAAAGAATTTTATGCAACATTTGGCTCAAGTGAAACTAAATCATTCAAAAAGGGAGCTTTCGTTGCTGATCCTTCCAAGCACACGTCTCACTCCCTAGATATAAAAAACATGAGGAAAGAGATTGATCATTCCCTCGATTCTGCTGTGCCATCTTTGGCCAAGGCAGGCATGAAGCGGCACCCAGAGAAAGAAGAGCAGCAAACTGGGAAACATGCCAAACATGCCATGGCTGATGACATCTCAAGAGGCAAAAACAAGAAGAAGAAAAAGAATTTAGTTGCTTCAGAGCATACTGGTGCATCTGGTAAAGGAGCAGAAAGTGCAGAAAAACCATTTCTTTCTGAAGACAGATCAGTAAAGAAACGACGCAGAAAGGATAGGCCATTGAAGTCCTCAAAGAAGTTAAAAGCTTGAAGGTTTGCCTCTATTCTCATAGGACTATCGCATAGAGTTATAAATGTAACTTAGTTGGAGAGATTCATTGAGCGGCAAAAGAAAAATGGTTGTGTATGCTCTTTTCTTTTTAGTTGAAAAGAGTTTTTCTCGGATTGAAATTTTGTTTTGGTTGGTATGTAAGAATCCTTTCTAACAAAATTGGAAATTTTCTTTCTCCAAACATCTAAAATTGTACAATTTACATTTAACAGCAAAACTAAACATGTTGTGGAAGCAAAAACTGTCAAATACATTACATAGTGCAATACATGTGACCCCTGTGGTAACTGAAATACTATTCAATGGACTACTGTAACAACAAATAAATAAAGAACATTGAATGTTGTAAAGATCTTGTTACTGCTGTTTTCTACTTCCTTCACCATCTAATGGAGGGTTTGGACGTGGCATAATAACACACTCTCTAAGTCAATAATGGAAAAGCTGCTGAGGCATGAAACTTTTGGTGTGAGAAGTTTATTACTTGTTCTGAGTTGGATTTGATGTGCTTGGTGGAATTCTTCTAAAGCTGGAGTCTACCTTCTTGAAAGGATGTTTCTTTTCTGCCTGCAGATCCTTGAGAGCTTGAGAAGATGTAGCCATGGTTGACACTTTTGCTATAGGACGACCCTCTGCTTGAGCTCTGCTAAGCCAAGTAGATAGAATTAGTGAAAGCAGTAGAAGAACAAAAGCCATTGCTATTGAGTAAGGCTTCATTGTGGTAAGGTGTGTGTTGTATTTTGTGCTGACTGAGTCTTGAGACTGAAAACTGAAAGTGTAAGTTGGAAAGTTGCTGGTTAGTGTAGTGATGAAACATGGAGATGTGTATGAAACAGTTTTGATAAGTTACTTATAACCTTGAAAAATCTAATTGGGATCTAAAGCCAGTGGGATCATGTGCTTAAGGTTTGACTGTTACATGTTCCAACTCTGACCATAAGATTTTTGGTAAATGGGGAAATATTTAAGAAATGTCATGTGATGAGGCACGTGATAATACTTTTTGGGGAACTTAAAAAGGTTAATAAGATAATGTGAAAAATCAGGGGTTCCGAGGTCAGTGTTGGATCCACAAGTCCAAAACCTGTAGCTAACCCAACAGCTGGTGATCCTTATCCTTGTGCCTAATTTCACTTTCTCTCTGGTGTAAATGCATGCAGGCCTCCTGCCCTTTTTAAATGTATTAAAAGAAGCTAAGTTTTGAACATGTATATGAATATGATGACCGCAGAATCAGAGACCTTGTTTGTCATTTGAAGACTGAGCAGCTTTTTGTATTTTAGTCTCTTGTTTGTCAATTGTCATCATAAGCTTCAGCTGAAACTTTACTAGTGATGCCAATGGACCGTGCCGGGATCGAGTACCCCTTGGCCCAGACCCAAGCCTAACCTCATAACAAAGGTCTAGATTTGGCCCGAGCCTGTCAAGGATATGATAGGTAAAGCCCAAGTTTGGTCCGACGGGTTTTTTTGTAATCTTAGGCCTGACCCAAGTTCACCTATTTTTATAATGTGAATTTTTAAATATTAATAAATATTAATCTTTTTATGTTTTTAATTCTAGAAACAATTTTTAAATATTAATTTATTTTTTAATACTTACCAAATATATTAATAACTTTTCACAAAGTGCATCCATCCATCCATGTAGGGTTTGGGAAAAATGAGTATATATATGTAGGATAATATTGTAATTAAATATATAGTATAAGAGTAATTTAGTATAATTAATACTAAAATTGTCGGGTCGAACCTGAAGACATACTCAGGCCCAGCCCATACTTGAGGTCGGGCCTTAAAATCAGGCTCAAGCCCAAGCCTAAGCCCGCGAACATCGGGTAAAGCCCGACTTTTTCAAGACGGGCCGGGTCGGGTACCTGAAAATATCAGACCCATTGCTATCTCCACACTTGACAAATTATTTGTCATATAAGTTTTAAGCATTAAAATAAGTAAAATGTTCTAGAAAGTAGAAACACCCTCTACCATATTGAACTTACCACTCAAAACTGCTTGCTATCTTCGCATTCTAATTTGGTTCCCTTTATGATAAAATTGTCTTAGGCAGCTGTGTTTACAAGTAACAAGTTAAAGAATTTGATCCAACCATTTGGATCTATTACTTTTCTATCAATAACGTTAATAAAGGTTTAGTACTAACCATATGTAGATAGTCCAAATGATTAAAACGAATTGAAAATAATATGAATAAACGCACAATCTAAATAAAAGGTCGTAATGGTGAATTATTGTATTAGTCTCCCCCGATAATTAATGAAGATGGGAACGTGAGACTAAATGTTATGAACTTTAGCAAAGAAAATGAACAAGTTTGAAACCCAAATTTCATCAATTTCATATTTCAACGAAAAATAGAGTAAATCATTATATGAATTTTATGGTTGAAAGAAAAACCAAAGTTATTAAATAGGTAGGTATCCATTTACGTCCCAGCACATTAAACATGATAAAATCCTCATAAAATCATAATAAATTGGACTACAAAAAGTGCTTTTTTTTAAAGTGATTTTCAGAGTAATAAAATAACACTTTCCCCAATTTACCCTTACCTAGGGCGGTTCTATGATTCTATCCTCCACGCAAGGCATAAGAACGGAAGAAGAAATGCAGGGCTAGCACGGTCTTTTCATACGGAAAATAAAACGAAATAAACTGAAGCTTTTTTTAATTAATTGACTCTCCATTAAGGAGTCTTCGTCGAAAGCCGTCTACGGAGCTTCTCTAAAGCATCTCTGTTATGTCATCCCTAAATTTGAAGCCCCATTAAACCCTTTTTCTACAATCTCCTGGTATGCTTCTGGCACCCTTTTATTTTGTTAGATTGTCACCCTTTTGTTGGCTTCAGATGGGTTCTCGATTGTTGTTTGAGATGGATCTCTGTTTGCTTTTTTTAATTGTTTTTGTTTTTTGTTGCTGTGGATCATGGGTTTGTTTGATTTTTTTTATTGATTTCCATGTTTGATCTTGATGCTAATGGGTTGTGATTTGAAAAAGGGATGCTTCGTGCTAATGGTTTTTTGCTCAGATGGGTTGGTTTCTCCTCTTTGTGGGATTAATTTTTTACAGAGAAATATATACAAAGATGAGTTTTTGTTTGTGCAAAATGGGTTTTGGATTATGTTTATTATGGATTTGTGGGTAGAAAATAGAAGATTGAAAGAAGAAGAAAAAAAGGTAAAAATTTAGGATTTGTTGAGGATTGGGTATGGAGTAATGTAACTAAAGAGGAACCTGTTCTTAGTGTTTTTGCTTTTTCCTGAATTATCACTTAGTTATTAGAACCCTTGTTGTGCGGTTGAGTAGCATTGTAGATTTATGAGGATCTGGATTGGAAGGTTGAGTGTTGTAGGAATTGGCTACTTAAAGAAAGGAGGAGATTTTTTTACTATGACTTGCAGGACATTGCTCCTGTTGGAAATTTGAATTGGGGAAATATGCTGTGCCAAAGACTTGAGAACATGAAACCCTTGTTGCAATTTCGTAGAAAATTATGGGAGAACGCAATTTCATATGCTAAAAGTATGTGTAACATGCTGCGGTTGCTATAATAATATTTTGCTATATAAGTTCCACCTACATGTAATCACTAGTTCTTCCACCTTAGAAAGTTCTTCCACAAGCAAACAAACCCACACTTATAGTTTAGTATATGTGTTCAATATCATAAGTGTGCAAACACTCATTGATATGCATTTGTAGCCCTGCCCTCCTTGCCGGTGTTGAATACAACACTTGTGTGGACTTACACAACTTTTTTCCATGGCATATTTGATTATTCATCTTTATTTTTCTTTGGATTGGTTTGGTATCTTGTTCTTATTATGTGGAAGTTGTGTTGCACATTCTTTACCTGGATCAGAGTTTATGGTCTTTTTCCACTCCAATCCTGTTTGTTTGATAAATAGTGGCTTTCCATGTAATGGAGAGTTTTTGATGAATTTATTTTGGGTGTTTATATGGTCTAGCAACTGCCTAATCAATTTATTTCTTGTTTCACTCTTTTTATATAGGCCAACAGATTGGAGGTTCTCAAAACAAAAGAGAAGCTAAGGTCTTGACTTTATTTTACTATAAGTTTGAAGTTGTGAGATGGCAGAGAAAGCATGTGTTAAGCGTCTTCAGAAAGAATATAGAGCACTCTGTAAAGTATGAGCCCCCACCTTTCTGAAATTCTGTATATTTATTGAGAATTAATAATATATGCATCCTTTGTAGTGGATGTTTAGTTTTGTATACTTTTATTTTTGCTTTTGTTTTACATTTTCGACTGTATTCTTTTAAGATAACATTTCTAATGGCCTAAGACATTCATTGCTTTATTTGCTATGCTAGAAAATTGTCCTGTTTTTAAATCTTCTCTTGTTAACTTGTAGGAACCAGTCTCCCATGTTGTTGCACGTCCATCCCCAAATGACATTCTTGAGTGGCGTAAGTTTATTCTTAATTCCTCCATTTTGTTGTTCAGATAGGTGTTGAATTTATCTAGTGGAATCATTTTCTTCAACCCTTCTGAGTGGTGCTATAATCCTTGTCTTTTTGTCTTTCTCAAGCTACTGATTTTATGTTATGTACATCTATAAGCTGACACTAAAACTGGAAAGAATGTGAATTTAGGTATATTCTTGCTAGTTGATCATCAAGAATTGGCTCTGAAGGATTAGGTATCAAGTTAAAAAGTTCATATATAGGTTAACTCAGTGCTAATAATTAGGCTGGTTTATTACTGGATTTTTGTTACTTTTGAATTCATTGTTCTGTTGTGAGGTTTCATGGCTTAATATTTCGATATCATTTGTATGGCCACTGATGATTCTATGTTTTGTTTAGCTTTTAGAGTGGATGGAGGTTGTCATATATATATATATATATATATATTTGGTTACGATTTTATGTGATTTTCCATTTCTCTTCATGCAACTGTTTCCTTCTGTGGTCTCTTTTGCTTCATTTTCTTTGTTGAGTTGGAAGTCTTCAACACTTGTAAAATTACTGAGATTTTGATATTCCAGATTATGTCTTGGAGGGAAGTGAAGGGACACCTTTTGCAGGTTGGTTTTTTCAAAAATTGTCTTTTTATGATGATATGCTGCCCTTTCTAGTCTCTGAGACCATTATTCTAATTTTGACATTGGAAATTCTTCTGCCTCTGGCAATAAGGTGGATACTACTATGGAAAGATCAAATTTCCCCCGGAATATCCATATAAACCTCCTGGAATCACGTATGTTCTTTTTTGCTACTTGACTTTTGGAAAAATATTTTGATTCTTGTTAGAGTCTTTTATTTTCTTTCTCCCTTAGGTAATATTTCGTTTAAATATTAAACAACATTTTTCTTCCCCTGTAGCATGATCACTCCCAGTGGAAGGTTCATGACACAAAAGAAAATCTGCTTATCTATGAGTGACTGTAAGTATATTGGAGAATTATCCATCGAGGATTAGTGTTAACTGAATTATCCATAGAGGATTAGTGTTAACTGAATCTGTAATACGTTAATTTTGCGTTTGCCTGATTTTGACCTTTTGCAGTTCATCCAGAGAGTTGGAACCCTATGTGGTCTGTATCAAGGTAAGCAATTTGAGTTGTTCTGTAACTTATTGTTGTGATATTTTTCCATTATCTTGATCCTGCTTTCTCTGTTGCCTGTATGGAAGTTCTAATAAACAGAATAGTTGTATGTGATCTTTTTGTGATGTTCTTTTCTGATACTGTTATTATTTGTGCTCATATAAAATTTCTTATATTAAGTTGCGTAGATCATATCATTTTTCGCCTGTTTGACTGACGCTCTTCATATTCTCCAAATGCAGCATACTTACGGGGCTTCTCTCGTTCATGGTAAGCTCTTTGGTAACTTGACTCTTAGTTGCTATATGTCTTACTTGCCTTTGTCCTCCATCTTGAGGTTTCAATTAATTATTAATGTTCTGGGGTAAGCATAGTCTGTTCTGGTAGTGAGTTTCAGTCACTGGAAGGCTATTTCTGCCTCATTTTTACACCATGATGGCATGCTTGAACCTTTAAAATGAATGATTTTACAGGGTTGTTTCTAGGAAATGCTTTGAACTACACTATGTTCTTTCACTTGTACAGATTAATAACTTTATTTGGGCTGCTAACTAGGACTTGATTCTGTTTGCACTGAAAATGGAAATCTCTTAGTCCTCCCTTTGTCAAATTGAAGCCTAAGCTGGCGCATCTCAATCAAATTTAACTGAAATCTCTTTTATAAGAACTTTTTTTGTAGAAGCATATCTGACGTTTTTCTGGATTTCGTGAAGTTTCTTAATGTAGGGTTGCTTTATCTTTTTCTTATGCAGATGGATACTAGTCCTACCACTGGCAGCGTGAATTCGACCCCTGCTGAGAAGCGGCGTCTAGCCAAAGCATCTCTTGCTTTCAATTGTAAGAAGTAAGTGTATTGTTCCAAGGACTTTGTTTGCCTTCCTGGTTCAGACGATATAGAACTGCCTCAGTTGTTTTTCTACATTCTATGCACCTATGATTGGGGATTAAGGCACGTGTCTTAGGAGTGAGATGAGTAAACGTACTTTGATTTTAAATTTCTTCATGTAAGGGCTGGTCACTGATAAAATATATCCCTTGTATTTCTTTACGTACTGCTGCCTAAATATGGGTTCTATCTATATTTAGCGTTTAAACTAGTTGTCTCTGGATCTGACTTGATTCATAACAGAGTGAATAGAGTAGCATTTTCCTGTAACCTTAGCTTGGTTGTTGCTTGCTTAATAATCCTGCCAATTTGTTCATTTAAATAAGTTTTTGATTATGATAAGTGAAATGCTGCATGAAATTATTCTTTCTGAATTTTTTATGGGAGTCTACTTTTTAATTGCAATTCAATCTAATGTTTTCTTTCTTGACAGTGCGGCATTCAGGAAAATGTTTCCAGAGTACGTGGAGAAGTATAACCAGCAGCGGCTTGCAGAGCAGCAGGTTTTGGACCAGGTGTCGCCAGATGTGCCACAAGAAGAAAATTCCAAACCCAAGGTTGAAAAAGTTGGTAATTTGGAGGACGTGAAAACTGTAGATACCCTGAAGGACACCACAAGAAACAATAAGCAGCCATTCCCAACCTGGATGATGTTGCTGCTGGTTTCCATCTTTGGCGTTGTAATGGCATTGCCTCTACTTCAACTTTGATATATCTAGATCAAAAATTGATAAGTCTATAGTGGGTAGTGGACATACAGGCTTTTGCTAGTCTAAAAAAAAAATCCTTTGTGCTTCTTAGTTTTGTGATGTACTTAAGCATAACTTCTGTATAGCGATTTTCACCAAGGAGAGGCCCAGTTGGATCCCTGGTCTGTTGCTTCTCCTTTAATGTTGATGTTGGTAGTTAAATCAATGTTCCAACATAACATGTTTGCTGATGTTATTCTATATTTTTGGTCAAATTTTCCGTTGGTGTGTGGATTGGCACTTGTGATCTCTCTCACACTCTCTCTTTTGACACAGAATTTAGAATGCAAACAATGTAGTTTGTTAAGTTGTAATCTGTTCCTCTGGGAGCATTACTATTAGATTCATTTTGATGTGTTTTTCGCGGAAGCTAATGTAAATCTTAATGGAGTCCTATGTCAGATGAAGCAGTAAAGAAACATGTCATGCTGTGTATGACATTGCCATAATCTCAATCTGACGTCATTTTGTGCAAGTTTATCTTAGGAGATGGGGCGTCTGACTAGTATGTACTTTAGCTTTCCTCTTACCCAGAAATATGTCAGGACAAAGGATTCAATCAATTCTTGATAAGTGAAAGATTTGTTAATTCTCCACTTTCCTCGAAAACATTATCATATGGGTCACCATGTTCCATTGTCTCTAGACTTTAAAACCTGACATGATTTCCTGCAAAAAGAATGATATTGCCTTCTGCCTTTATGGTACTAAGTCAATGACATGTATCAAAACGACTAAATGTACAAAACAAGATTACCCGAGAACAAGTTTTCCTTTCTCTATCTTTCCCTCCCTTTTCTCCCGCAAGTTTAAACAGATGCATACCAAGTTGTGCTGGCAATTTTCTCCCAAACTCAATAAAGTAAGCCTCAATTGTCCCAAACATGCGCCTGAAATGGAGCAAGGATTCAATTCCTAATCCCCGTAACTTCATAAAGCTTCATTTTCTAATTCCTTTTGTTGGCACAATTATTATATTAATGATGATACATTGTCTTCTTATTGTCATTGTTTAATCCATTTAGTTAAAAGGTTTTCTCTACCTTTCATCATTTACATTCCTTCCCCAGTATACCGTCTTTCTCTCCTCTATTATATGACCTTTGTGTCTGTTTAAACTCATATCTATACCTAAGCATAACTGGTTTCAGAGTCCTCTTTGTTAGGTTGAGTACTGGTTTTCTATATACTACACAAAGTATGATAGCTACTAACAAACACAATATCCTTTGTTCATTCTTTATTGTTTCTTCTGCCTTAATGAGCAAGACTTATAATTGAGAGGTAGGACATCATGATTATATTCCATTTATCTTTATTCTTTTCTCAAAGTTTTGTTAGCTGTCTAGATTTCTGCTGATTTTGAGTATCGCTTCTTGTATGAGCTAACAACTGAACTATTAAAACAGCTTGAATACACCTACCTCTTAACCCCACTATCTTTGCTGAAGAACACCTTAAGTAAAGCTTACACTCCATATCAGCTACCAAAAGGTATCTATTTTCGATACTATAATCTTTAGTTTACAATTTTGAACGGGTTTCAGTTTGGTAGTTGGCCTTTACCTTTTTTGGTCTAGTTGATGGAATCTTTGGCATGGTTAGTATTATAATTTTCATTTCACGGTATTTTCTGTTTACTAAAGAAGAAACTCAAGGTAGACAATTGCGAATTTCACATGATCATCTTCTAGTATTTTTATATCACCAATTCTCTAAGCAGCTACTTGTTCTTTTAACTTGGAGCATTGCCATTATCAAGCTCATTAAAGATGGTCTTATAACTTGGTTGTTTTTCTATTTCTGATTCTTTATTTACTGTTTCATCTTTGTTTTAGTTTTTGTAGTCAGGTTTTCTAGTTTTTAGGCAGCGATGAAGAACTCTCCAATACACTTGGACTATGAGACAAGTGATTATGGTGTCCACGAGTTTGATCCACAGATTGATTTCTCACAGGTAAACAATCTGTTCTTTTAGTTTTTGATGTTGCAGATTGATCTGTAAAACTAAATTTTATGATTTGCCGTTTAGACTTGGATAATTTCAGTATTGTTAAATTGTATATCTGTGACATACGTTGTTCTCTATTTGTAGTCATAGAGAAATTTCACTTATTTGGAGTTTCTTCTATTTCTTCTACCAGGTTAGAAATTTAATTTCTTTTTGTTGTATCTTTCATCAGTTCCTGGAAGAAGCAAAACAACATGCAAGAGAAATGAAATTTAAGGCCTCATCAACATGTTTTGAAGAAACTAGGAAGGGAAAAATAGGAGAAGAGAAAAAGATCAAAAAATCATGGAAGAATTCTCTGTTTCGATGGTTAAAAGTGGAGAAAAAGAGCAAACCCTGCACTGAACCTGCAAATACTTCTCACATTTCAAAGCCGAGAAAGGGTCATGTTTCTGGTCCAATATATGGCAGTGGTAGGGGAGATGACATGAGGCGTCCAACATCAGGGCCAATCACTAGCTTCTTCAAACCCATCAAGAGAGTGGAGAATGAGATACCTTATATGTGTCTTGATCAGCTTAATGACTCTCATCATGTTAAGTCCTATGGACCTGTTTATTTGGTTACTTAGTTTATCTTTTCTCTAAGACAAAACCTTGCAACGGTGGAGTTTCTGCATTTTGTCAGCATAGTTTATGTTGGTTGTTGGAGAAAGCAACTGATACCTAAAACTGGATAATGTTATACAGTTGGATTATCTGATAGGAAAAGACTTGAAACTGAAGTTGTCTTTGTTTAAAGTTTCTTAAACTATTGCAAGTAGTTCTTAATTCCTTGCTTCTCTAGTGCATTTTTCTTTTTCAATTTTCCAAGAATTGTTCCACAATTTTTGAATGATCTCAGATGTTTAATCCCCATGTCATGGAGAAATTTCTTTTTGTTTATTCTTATTAACTTGAGAAAACCAGTCATGGAAACTGCTTCTTAACCTGCTAATATATTTAGCCTGGACTGTCAAAGCCGTATCTCACAATAGCTAGTCAAAAAAGAAACAGGAGAAAAGGTAGACAGGAAAAAGAATGAAGAATAAAATCAGAAGGAATGTTTCTTGCTTCAGTTTTAGGAAGCATTAACTTACATAATGAAGACTCCTTATGTTTGCCCTTGCAGCTTGATTTGCATAAAGAGAAACCAAAGTATTGTGAAGGAAGTTAAGACTTGCTTTCACAAAGCCGTATACCAATTACTTTTACTATCTTCAAGTCTACAAGATTTTAACCTCAGGTTATGAAGTTTCATGGAAATATAACTCAAGAGATGAGTTCATGCCTGTCCAAACACCATAGTTATAGATGGTATATGTCTATACATAGTGCACTAGATACCAAATAATTGATTATGTAAACCATAGACTATTAATCTGCTGCTGACCTCTTCACCTTTCTTTAATTGAATCCAGATAGCCTGCAAAGAAATTGGACTCTAGAATTTGGAAATCTGGAAATGTGATGCATATGGAAACCTCAAAGGCTCCTCAACAACAGGGGAGGGATTGGTTTAAACCTTATCGATTTTTACATGAAAAGGTTACACTATCATTTCATTTCAAGCTTGTTTACTGTACAAGTTTTGGAATCAACAAAAGAATTCATTGCAAAGAATAAAATGCAGAACAAGTAAATTACATAGCTTGATGAGGAGCTAAATTTTTTTAGCACATGGTTTAATGGCTTTACACTTAAACAAAGAATTTTACAAAATGATTCTTCTGAAGAAGATGAATTGCTTCCTCTCTCATTTTCTGATTTTCAAAGGATAGACAGCAAACTCTTCACTTTTCTTAATTGAGAAATTTATGCCGAGATACAATCATATCTTCAGGCATGCTTCAATAGCAAGTTGCTTTTGAAATTCTATCCTTTCCTAACCTGTTCAATGTCACAAGAACTACTAGAAGTACCACCACTACAACTGGGACTTACCCTCTTCTCCCTACTCAAAAGCCTCTTCAATGACCTCAATCTTGTTGTCATGGGCGACTTTAACTCCTCCTCGGGAGATCTTATTGGAGACGATGATAAATGTTCACTCATAGTCACAGGAATATCAATTACTAACATTTCACCTCGCCTGCTTGTATTCAACGTTGAAGAGGAAGATGAAGATGAAGATGATGAAGATTCAGAAGAAGTAGAAGAAGAAGAAGAAGAAGTACCCTCTTCTAAAGAAGCACCACCAGTACTAACTTGAGTTTCATTTCCCCAAAACAATACATTAGTAGGAAAATTTGGAGATTCTGTTGAGGACCCAGAAACCGAATTTTCTTGTGGAAACTGACTATCAATTACCTCTGCCATTTCCCTGGAATTGTAGCATTGAAGATCAACAGGATTCCTACAAAGCGGGCAAGTAGAATGAGATTGGAACCACATATCAATACACTCAACATGAAAGCCATGGTTACATTTAGGAAGCAGCCTAGCTTTCTCTCCTTCAACAAGCTCAGACAAACAAACAGCACATTCAAGTCCATCTTTAAAGTCTTGTGGAGTGAAAGTAACCATAGGAATGGAATGGAGCACGGCAGCGTCAAGGCCAGTTCGGAGAGTGAAAGCAGGGTCTTGGCCAGGAGCAAAGACAAAACGACGACGCTGGCGATGTGAATAAGGCGGAGCAGGTGGTTGTTCAATGCGCCACCAGAACCATTTGGCGTAGAGATGAAGAAAAAGAACAAACACTACTACCACAAAAAGAACTATAATTGCCACCACCATTATTTCGCCTGTTATTTCCACTGAAGGTGAGCTGTTGAAGGTATCACGATCGCTAGAGCTAGAGCCGTCCATCTTTCTTTCCAACCAAAGCAAACCCAATTGAGGATTGTGTTTGTAGTGTATATTCTGAAAGAAAAGTTGAGTTTTTGGTGAGTTTTAAGAAGAGAAAAGCAGGTGGGAAATGGAGGTTTTAGAAAGAGTTATCATTCAAGCATTGAAGAAGAATGGTTCAACTCAAGCATTCGAAGAGAATAAATGAAAGATCAAAGACTTGGACTTTCTTGGAAGGAAGAAGAGAAGAAGATGACGATATTTGGGTCCAAATCCAATTCCAAATCTGTGTGATTTCGTTACGTTTCTTCTTTTTCTATTGTGTTTGTGTTTGTGTTTGTGTTGTGCTGCTTCTCTTGACTTCTACCATGTCTATGACTCTTGGCGTAAGGGCAGGGATTGAATTGGAAGACTTTAGAGTTAAATTTTATTTTTGTTTTTATTACTTAATTAATTCATTTTTATATTTTAAAACTAATAATTAATTAATACAAACATAGCCATCATAAAAGTATTAGGTTAATCATTGACCAACTTCATTTTTTTATTTTTTTATTTTTTTTAACCTTAGGTGTAATCTACTCGTATCATTACTTTTAAGGTTTTATATAGTAATTAAACGATGATTTAAAAAGCAAGATGCATAATATAATACTAGTGGCAGCTTTTTTCCTTTATCTTAAATTTAAATACAATTGCACGGAAACTCGAATATGAGATTGTATATCTATCCGTATTATTTTTAATTCGTCCAAATCATTTGGGTTACATACCGATTAACAAATTGCAAACCCCTTCACTAGCAATTGCCTTATCCTGAAATTAGAATTCCTACTAAATCCTACACAAAAGAAGCAAACCATATATTGATTATATGACTGGAGAAGACCATTTCAAAAGAATCTATAGGGGCGACCCACCGAACCAATTTAGGCATGTGGTTCAAGCCGCGTTTGATAATGACTTAAAAGAGGTTGACCCAGTTGTGCCTTGTTGACCAGAAAACATGAAGCAGAGAAATGTATTAGTTATGAAGATTCATGTGAATTCCTTCATATTTTAGGTGATGCAGCCTCAACAATTAATTACAGAAGAAAAACTCTCGTTATTTCATTGCAAATTCTGAAACGTAAGCCAGTAGTTAGAAGTGATAATATTAGAGCTGTTTAGTTCCGGGTACCTTGCATTTTTTAAAGAAACCAAAACTGACGGTTCCTTGAAATTTAGAACCAAAATTGGAACTGATGGTTTCGATTCCTAGGTACCCAGAACCGGAACCTGTAACAATGGTTCCGGTTCTGGATACCCTGTAAAATTTATGACCCCCTAAAAGTTTTTAAAATGGCAAAAAAAACCCATAAAAACGTACAAATACCCCCACCTGGAACTTGTTAACAAAAATAAAATTACAAATTATAAATTCAAAATTACAAACTCCATTACTTTGTGAAAATAGATTCTCAAAAGTCAAACCAATTTACTTTAAATTTTATGAAATATAAATATAAATGTATTCACATTACTTTTTCTACAAAAGTTTTTATTAATTCCCTACTCTTTAATTTTATTTTATATTAATCTCGATTCACGACCCGTTGATGGTAGGTTCTGGGTAAGAATGAGAACCAAATCCCGCATACCCATCGGTTCTTTTGAACACCCCTAGATAATATGTTATTTTGGCCATTCATCAACCAGTCAATAAGGCCATAGTTGTTCAAGTTTAATAATATTATTCAAATGTTAGTGGGCTGTTTTTGCGATGGGAATATGTTTAGGTACAAATATCAAGAGAAAGGAAAAGTAACCCTAGATTCCTGAAATATCAGGCGAAAACATCGGTGATGCCCACCTACTTTCTACATTTTAGTCTTGAATGTTTGACTTCATTTCCTTCACTTTTGGGAGACTTTAGATTCTCCTGTCCTCACAACTACCAACTCTTATCATTGTTTCAAACATTAGTTGTATGTACAATATAATGGTATTAATATGATTTCTTATAATTATAATTAAACGATGTGTTCTCTAATAGCGTTTGATGTTTGTTTCAAAAAGGTTTAAAGAGGTTAAACCCCTCGTCAAGCGCTTATATGATCAAAGGTCATTGATTTTTGCTTCGCTTTGTGATTGAAGTCTAATGTGCTGTAATAACCCAATGACTGAATTGTAATGCTTAGTTGTTATAGTAAAGGGATTCTCATTTTTTTTTTTTTTTTTGGGTTATCAAGGGTGTTTAAGTCAGCTTACGAGCATCTTGACTAGTCTCTCAACCTCGAACAAAGCTTTCGAAACAAGGCAAGTACTGCGGTCCGTGACCAATAATATTAATAACCATTATTGTGATTCGAACCTGAGATCACAGGAGGAGCAAACCTCTTGACCCCAAGTCTTTACTACTCGACCAACCTAGGGGTGTTAAAAAAAACGCAAAAACTGAACCGAAAAACGGTTCGGTTGCGTTTTGAAAAATTCAAAAAACCAGATTTCCGATTCGGAAAAAAAATGAAAAACGTTAACCTAAACTGGTTCGGTTTAAAAAACCGTTTTTAAACACCCCTAGACCAACCTATTGTTGGTTGGATTCTTATGTAGAAACTCCTTGAAAACTTGGAAGATGTGCAATTTACATTATTTTGACAACCCAATGGCTGAATTGTAGGGCTCTTTGCGTGAAGTGAATTGGTCTTGGCAATGTAGTTCGCATCATTTTGCAGCCACAATTCCTGGCTTTTTGTATGGATTTGAAACAATGAATGGTCAGACAGAATGATCTTTCCCTCATTATAACACTTGATGCTAATTTAGTGGTAAAAGCGCTCCCAACTTTTTGGCTTTTTGAGAAAGTTCCTAGAAGCTAACAAATGACCTTGCACGCCACGGGATCCACATCTCCTCCTGCTTTTTCCTTTTTGCACCCATCTTTGATATTGAAATTTCAAAGGAATGAGCCTGCTCAGTAACTATTCATTTACACCATGAAATGACAAGAGAAACTACAGGTTACGAAAGTGATTAATCATATCAACAATCAAGTTTTCCCATTAGGTAATAGTTTTCATCCAATCCATGTCCCCAGTCCAGATGGGTGTGCTGCAAAAAGATTTCAACTTGCATGAATAAGCTTAATTTGCAGTGGACAGTACACAGAATTGGGCAATCCTGGATTTTTTTAATTAATAATGATAGTGTCACATCTTATATCCCAATGATGAAAAGTCTAATAAGTTAGTGCAACAAAAGCAAGGTTATGCCGGAGGGCCAAAACAAACCATATTTGTTTGGTTGGCAGGATTGTTACTGTTACTACAAGATTATATGCTGGAGTTGGAGTTTGGACCCAAGATTGGGCTTGGATTCAGCTTCTGAACTGTGCACTAGCTACTTTACTGTATCAAAGAGCTCAGTTGACTTTCTGCAGATGTTAAAAAGTGAAAGAAAGTTTCTGAGAAATTAAACCAGTGCCATCGTTGTCTTAGAACAGTGTGATAATTCTGATTTCTCAATAGTTCTTTCTCTATTTCATGAAACAAGTTTGATATGAATAATAGAAATTACAATTCAACAAACAGCTTTCGAGAGATCATTACACAAGAATTTTTACATAGTATTGAAGAATGAAAATAATCTTTTGCAGGCTAAGGACATTCAAGACAAACATCCAAAATCGGCACAAAAGGCCATCTTGATCTCATCAGTAAAAGAAACCTCCATCCAGTTACTTACACTTGTTAACGAAGACAGCAACCAAGAAACGAGACCGTCAAGCTTAGGAGCTGCCTGGCTACAAGGGACATCAGCCCTGCAAAGAGGACATGTTGAACTTAACTTGAGCCAAGCATCAATGCAGTGAACATGGAAACCATGGTGACATGTTGGTAGAACCCTGAGTGGTTCACCTTTTAACACCTTGTTGAGGCACACCGTACAATCAATTTCAACATGAGATTGGCTGCGGCCATGGTTGTCACCTCCTGACAGTGACTGTCCAAACCATCTCTTATATAAATGGAATGAGCAAACTATAAGCATGGCCATGAACATCACTGCTGCAATAATACTGATCATCATTGTCTCAGTTGCTTTGATAATCTCTTGATGATATAATACTGAGAGATAATGTGAATAAATTATCTGCTGCTCTCCCTCAATACATGCTCTATATATATTCTGCAGGTTTTGACTCGTAAAGCCAAGGTTAGCATACAGATCATTGACTCCTAGATGAGTATGGAGCAGACTGGGTTTAAACTTTAAACGTTTATGAAGAATCTATGACAGCAGGCCTAGTTGATAAGAAAATTCAATACACAAAAGATCAGTCAGTCATGGCTGCAAACTTCTTGATCAAAGAAGGCTCGGCTGCGGGCAAATGTTCTGACAAGGTAGCTAACTGTCCCTTCTTAATTTCTCACATTTGTCTCTTCAGGCCTATATTCATATAATTTTCTTCTCTCATATTAACTCCATTTGACCAAAAAGAAATATACATTTATTGCATAACATCTAAATGCCTTATTCAAAGGTGGACTACTGCCTTCCAAAAATACTTTCTTCATACAATCATTTTAAACAATTTCACTGGTTTTAAGTTTTAAGCTCGCCCAAAATCTAAATGGTTAATAATTAATAAATAAATAAGAGAGATCGGCTGCAAGCAAGTAGCTGATTTGTCTCTTTCGAAGAGATTATGAAGCTCAGCCCACCAACAATTAGGGAATAGTTGGGCCAGGCTTTAGAAAATGGAGTGAAGAGGTACATGGGCTTTGATTCATTATCCATGTTCTGCAGATATTACAGAGAGTATCGGTTTGTGGTTTATGTGGCTCTCTCCCTCTCAGAATTTTTCTGACTCTGAATTCCTCTCTTCTCTACTACCACACTACTACGCTTCAGTTACTCACTTTCTCCTCCTCTTAGTACACTTATCCATATTATTCATGTTGTTTCAGTGAAACTCAGTGACCCTTTTGCTTTGGATTCTGAATGAGCTCCTATCCATGCCTTTATTAGGTACTCTCTTCATTCTTCATTCTTCTTTATTTCTTTCTTCATACTTGTTCTAATCTTTGCGTTCAATTTTCATTTCAATTAACAAGATAAATTTACAACCTCATTCCTTGTGAGTTTTAAGCATAATATTCAGTAAATTTAAGAACTTGCAGCTTACAGTTCCTTTTTTAATTTTTTTTTTTCTTGTTTCATTTATAGTGGAAAGTTATATGCCTGTTCTCCAGTATTCGCCAAATTTTTCATTTTGGTTCGTCTATGTAGCTTTGGTTCATGAGTTTATGTGTTTACGGTTGTGGGTTATTCGTTGCTTTGTACTTTCCTAGGAGTCATTACCAAAATAATTAGCTTGTTACTGTTAAGCCCTTGGCCTTAATTAGCTCCTCTGTAACTTGTTAACAGATATTGCTACTTGTCAGCCTTGTTTGCAAAATCATCTGGGTCCACCAAGGGCTCAAACCCTTACTCATGCTAAACTTTTGTCAAGTAAATTTATATCTGGAGATGAAAAGAGACTGTGCTTTGCATCGAAATCATTCCAATTCCCTAAAAAGACAAATTATAGCTTCGGACACCTTGAGACTCGAGGAGGTAAACTCCTGATCACTGCTGTTGCTACCCTTGAACCTGAGTGTTTGGTTCATAAAGAAGATGGACAAAAGAATACAATGCTGGGTGTGGATTCAAGTCCATCAACAACTCAGCTTCAGTCATCTAATGGAGACTCTACTGAATTGGATGAGAGAGAACGGTTGAGACGGATGAGAATTTCTAAAGCAAATAAAGGGAACACACCGTGGAACAAAGGAAGGAAACACAGTGCCGGTAATAACATACTCATGACATTTTATGTGCCAATTTGTCAACTTTCTCAATATTTTTGTGTAACATTCACTGTGTATCTTTGATTCATGTTCAGAAACCCTTCAACGGATCAGAGAGAGAACAAGGCTTGCAATGCAGGATCCAAAGGTGATGTCATGTAAGAATAATTTTATGTTATCATTTGGTATGCCCTTCAAATGCTTAGCAGGAAACCAATCACACCACTATTCAATGTTTGGACCATAATTTTGAGATGATCCCATTTGATTAATTATGAGAAACCTAGGTTATCACTTTGAGACAGTAGTGATGTATGGCCTGCCCCAAACACAATCCAAATTATTTGTAGTCCAGATGATCAGTACTTACACATTGCAATTACTGCTGCCAAATATCAGAAATTAAATGACTGTATTTTTTCCTATTAAAATATCATGTCCATTTAAATCATCGCAGCTTTGGAATGGGCAGTTTCAGATGTCCATAATCTGGCTGTAGAAACTAATTCTTGGAGTTGTTTCAAGGTCTCAACATATTGATTAATGTTGTAGCCGGGACTTTGTATCTAGTTATTTTTCTCGTGTCTTTGATGGACTGTTTAGACATGGTATCCTTTAGCATTTCAAAGAATAAAACAACAGTGTTATTTAATAATGGTGTAGCTGATGGATAATGTATATGATGAGGTAAAAGAAAGGTTTCCTTTTTGCATGATTAAGTGTAGTCACAATTTCAATTGTTTGCATGATTAAGTGAAATCACAATTTCAATTGCATTTACAATTGTTTGTTCTGACAACATAATTTCGCAACGCAGGTCAAAATGAAGTTAGCTAATCTTGGACATGCTCAGAGGTGGGTACCAAGCTATTTTACCTTGATAAGATTTCTGTTTACGATTAGCATTGGGAGTTCTATATTGTCCAATATTGACTTCTACTTGGGATTCCAAAGAATGCTATTGAAGCTGTGAGATTTTGAACTTTGATTTTCACTTTATCTTCATACCTCTGAACAAATGCTTTTGCCCCCTTCCAAATCATTTGCAGTGCAGAGACTAGGAAAAAAATTGGGGTTGGTGTACGTATGGGGTGGGAAAAGCGCCGAGAGAAGTTGATGGTGCAGGAACATTGCTATTTTGAGTGGCAAAACTTGATTGCAGAAGCTTCTAGAAGGGGTCTTGCGGGTGAGGAAGAGTTGGAATGGAATTCTTATAAGATATTGGATGAACAGCTTAAGCAGGAGTGGTTGGAGAGTGTTGAACAAAGGAAATCTATGCCTAGGCCAAACGGTAGCAAGAGAGCTCCAAAGTCCCCCGATCAAAGAAAGAAAATCGCAGAAGCAATTGCTGCCAAATGGACTGATCCGGTAATTAACATTTTGCAGTGCTTGCATGACATATTTTCTTAATTGGCAAGGCAAATTAAAACAGTGTCTGTACTCATGTACCATAAGCACATCTTTTGAGTTCAAGGAACATAATAACAAAGTGTGAATACAGTTGAAGAAACCCTTAATAAAGGATTATATGCTGTTGAATAATTTTGAAAAAATGGGAAGGAACCTCACTCTAGTCAGACCTAGTCTTATCTGCAAAAACTGGCTTTGGGCACATATTCCTATTCAAATCGAAGTTGGCTCTGAACATGAATTCTTTTTTAAACTGCCAAAATGAAGCTAAAATTTTACTTGTCCAACATTGTCTAATCTGGAATAGATGGTGAAAACAATATATTCCCTTCCTTGCAAATCATTCTTCTTATATAACCGATTTTCTTGTTTCTTGCAAAATAAAATATATTTGGGTAGGTTTGAACATGGTAAGTATGATTTATACTCTTATAGTCTGCCTTGAACTTGACAAGGAATTTGCTTCCTTTGTCACGTCTACTTTGTTAGCTCACACTGATACAAATCAGCTGAGTATGTTAACTGAAGGCTGGTAACATGTGTTTTTAGTTTTTATCTCTTCTGATAATTTACTTTCTTTCTCCCCTAGACGTACCGGGAACGGGTTTGCTCTGGGATAGCGAAATATCATGGCATCCCAACTGGAGCTGAAAGAAAACCTAGGAGAAAGCCAAGTGGCGATGGGCAATCTAGAAGACGAAACTCCACAAAGAAAAAAGATATTGATATAGATATTTCTCTCATGATGGAGCCTCCAAGCCGAATTGAGAGGTTGAGAGTGAAGAGAGGTAATACATCCTTGTATAAGGATCCTTCTGCGAGTTCCAAGCTGGAGATGATAAAGAACATCAGAGCACAAAGAGCAGCTGCAGAATCGAAGAAAATTGAAGCCGTTGAACAAGCAAGGTTAGTTTATTCATGCAGTTCTCTGTGGTTTTGGATTATATGGGACGCAGATTATGAAGAGAAATTGAAAATGAACTTACTTGATGGTCTGATGTTGCTTCACAAAGTTTAAACTAACTTAATTTGGCAGGTGTTCCTGACTTGCATAATGCAGTGTCACCACCCTAGAAATCTATGCTAATGTTATATGAAATTTTGCAGATTATTAATTGCTGAAGCAGAGAAGGCTGCAAAAGCCCTTGAGGTTGCTGCCATGAAGAGCCCTATTGCTAAAGCTTCCCTCATGGAAACCAGAAAGCTAATAGCTGAAGCAGTTCAATCAATTGAATCCATAGAAATGGGGCAGGTCACATCCAACAATGAAAATGGTGGATATTCTTCTGTTGATTCAGCTGAAGTGGTTAGCGAAGTCAAAGAGGAAATAGAGACACAAAAGGGAGTGTTGAGCCAAGCAGAACATATAAAAGTAAATGGAACTCAACCGCTACCAAGTAAAGATGAGGCTTTTGACTTTGGTAGCTTCACAATGCCAGATAAACTGAACGGGGAGGAACTTCTTCCTAGAAACTCCAACGGATATAGTTTGCAGACACTGAATTTGGAGAGCCTAATAAGAAAGCCAGATTCAGCAAAGCAACTTGGCCATTTGGAACCAAACGGAAACGCCAAATTTGAAAAGAATCCTCAACCAAATGGAGCAAGGGTTCACAGTATGGAAGAGGAAACCGCTAGTAAACCAGAGAGTGTAACTAAAAAATGGGTTCGTGGGAGGCTTGTTGAAGTGACAGAAGGAGCATAATCTCAATCTCTGAAGATAGTTGTTGATTGCAGATGTTTTAACTCAACAATCTTGCCTTTTTTGTTAATGTAATATTTATAGAGCTTTTGGTGAATAATACTATTATACATGCACCATTATTAGTGCTTGTAAGCCTATGTAGTATGTGTTACTTCATTTCACCATTCAATATTAGCTTAGTTTTAAGGTCGTACGAGACGATTGTCAATTGCCTGAAAGATTAATTTATTAAATGATGTTGCTTTACAAACTCTTATAAACTTAATATCGGATATCTGTGGTAACATTTCTTACATCCCGCATGTTAATGGCCATTCTTGATTGTTGATCACATAACATTATTATTGGTTGAATATTAGAGTTTGACCTTGTTATGGGGCGATAATCCAGTAAACACTGTTGAATAGAGATCTATATGGTTTATTTGGTCCAGGTGGGTGATAAACAGTAGAATCGGGTTGGGCCGAATGGGTTGGGCTGGACGGTAACGGGTCGTTTTCTCCTCACCGACTGATATTCTTTACTCACTAACAACTTCTCCCTCCTTCAGATCTCTCTTCTTCCTCTTAACCACCGCATAGAGACTGAGCAACTAAAACTAAACCGTTACAAATACCGTTCCTTCTCTTCACAAACAATCATAGCGCAATCCAAAATGGACCGGGATTCATCTGACGAAGACGAGGATCGCGAGAGTTTGATTCATCAAAACGACACCAAGCACAACCATCAACAACAACTCCACACCATTGTCCATGATGAGTTTGACCACCCACATTCTACATTGCACATTGACGACTCAGCCCCCTCTAGCCGACGTCGTGCCGGTTTTAATTTCAGCAATGTTAATAAAAGGTACCTCTTTGCTATTTTCCTCCCTCTCCTCATCCTCATCCTTTACTTCTCCGTCGATCTCCGGAGTCTCTTCCCCGCGAGTATCGCTAAATTCAGACTCGATTCCATCACCGACTCCATGCGCGAGTCTGAGCTACGCGCCTTGTCTTTACTTAAACAGCAACAATCTCAGCTCGTCTCGATATGGAACCAATCATTTTTTAATATTAATAATTCTAATAGTAATAATAATTCTAATCCATTCTTTCAAGACGCTAAATCGATTGTTCTCGATCAGATTTCGTTGAACAAACAGATCCAGCAAGTTCTTTTATCTCCTCATAAAGTTTCAAACTTTTCTCAAAACGATGATGCTTGGAACCCGCTTTTTGGTTTCAATAGCTGTAGAAAGAACGATTCGTGGGTTGCGAATAAAAGAACCATTGAATGGAAGCCAAAGTCGGATAAGTACTTGTTCGCGATTTGTTTGTCGGGCCAAATGTCGAACCATTTGATTTGCTTAGAAAAGCATATGTTTTTTGCGGCTGTGTTAGGTCGTATTTTGGTGATGCCCAGTTTTAGGGTTGATTATCAGTACAGTAGAGTTTTAGATATCGAGCATATAAATAATTGTGTGGGTAGAAAAGTAGTGGCGTCATTTGAAGAGTTTGAGGAATCGAGAACAAATCATCTCCACATTGAGAAATTTATTTGTTATTTCTCTTCACCACGGCCTTGTTATATTGATGATGAGCATATGAAGAAGTTGAAACAGTTAGAACTTACTATAGGCAAGATTGAGACTCCTTGGAAGGAGGATACCAAGAAGCCGAGTAAAAAGACAATTCAGGATATTAAGGCAAAGTTTAAGGCTGATGATGATGTGATTGCCATTGGGGATGTGTTTTATGCGGATGTTGAGAGAGATTGGGTTATGCAACCAGGTGGCCCCATTGCTCACAAGTGTAAGACCTTGGTTGAACCCAGTAGGCTTATTTTGCTTACTGCCCAGCGCTTTGTTCAGACCTTCTTGGGGAGTAATTTCATCGCTCTTCATTTTCGTCGTCATGGATTTTTGAAGTTCTGGTATGCTTTTCTACTTTCTCGCCAAAACTGATTTGCAAGTATAAGTCTCTGATTATTGTATTAGAATCATGTAAATTTAATCTATCAAATCGTGTGAACTATTAATTACATTGTTTATGCACAAATAGAGGTTGGATGACCTGGTGTGACCTAAAACTTGATGTTTTTTATATGAGACATGTAATTGTTTGTAATTGCATGGATAGAATGTGTGGAAGAAAAGGTTTATATAATTTATCCAAATCTAATGCTCCTGAATGTGTTCATTCTCAGTTGCACTCATGGTATTAAAGATAAGTCCTTTTCTTAAATAGATGATGCTATTACCAGTTTGTTGTAGATGGAATTGTTGTGTGTATGTCTTTCTTTCAATGGAAACATTTTCAATAATGTGTTTCTATGAAATTATCGAATGAGTTGTTATTTAAGGTGGTAAATTTTCTTTTTTCCGATTCCAGTTAATGTGCATTTTATTAATTGGGTACTTGCTTTGTGGCCCACGAACAAATGCATCTTTGTTTAGCACTTCTGTATTTTCTTGTGAGTTCTTATTTAAGGTGGTAAATTTTCCTTTTTCCTAGTCCAGTTAATGTGCATTTTATTAATTGGGTAATTGCTTTTTGGCTCACGAGCAAATGCATCTTTGTTTAGCACTTTTGTATTTTCTTGTATTTGTCTGCCCATGCTGAGAAGTCTTTGAAGTTGTTGTTTCTCTAACTAGAGTTACTTATTTTGACAGCAATGCTAAAAAGCCAAGTTGCTTTTACTCCATTCCTCAAGCTGCAGATTGTATCACTCGGATTGTTGAAAGGGCCAATGCACCGGTTATATACCTTTCAACAGATGCGGCAGAAAGTGAAACTAGTTTGCTGCAGTCACTAGTTGTGGTGAATGGGAAGACTATACCACTTGTTAAGCGGCCTGCACGTAATTCAGCTGAAAAATGGGATTCTTTGCTGTATAGACATCATCTTGAGGGTGACGCACAGGTGAAATTATACTACCACTCTTTTTCTCTATATATGAGGGTTTGTCCGAGAGGATTCTTTCTGGTCTGAATTTTTCTTCATGAGTTTGCCCTCTTAATTTTTATGTATATGTGCACATTCTTTGGAAAGGGTTGTTCTTGATGTGAGAATGAGCTTTGCAGTGATGCCCTTCCCCAATCGTCCTTAATTTCAATGACATCTGGGTCTTTTAGGTTTCTGATCAAACCTCTTGGAGAGTTAATTATCAAGCTAGGGTACTGCTTTTCCCAGTTTTGGTTTGAGCGATCTTCAATATGGGGGCAGTACTCAATGAAAAATTTACCAATACATTCAAAATAATATGCTTTTTTTTTTTTTTTTTTTTTTTTAATGTTTAATCATATAAATAATTGATATTATAATTTGTTTACATATCTTTATTGGATTTTTGTATTGAAGGTGGAAGCTATGTTGGATAAGACAATCTGTGGTTTATCTAGTGTCTTTATTGGAGCTCCTGGGTCTACCTTCACTGAGGATATCTTGCGGCTGCGGAAGGGTTGGGGATCAGCATCAGTGTGTGATGAATACCTCTGCCAAGGAGAAGATCCAAACTTCATTGCTGAAGATGAATAATGAAGATTGAAGAAGATACAGACATTGACACATTGTTATATTCTGGGAATCAAGATCTTTGTTCGTTTGGCGCAGAAATTTGTCGAAAAATATTGTAGTGATGTAGTAGTGTATAATAATAGCATTTTGTAATCTGAAATTTTGTTCAATCTTTCATGCCTTCATTGTATCATAATATCGTTTACAATGCCTGTTCTGTTTTTCATTTGTAAAGAGTTCATATTAATAATCTTTAAACCTCCAATTAAACGCTACAGACTATTTTGCTGGTTTCCATTTTAGATTCCTAAAATAATTTCATCAATAAGCAATCTTCTGTAAATCAAAGAATCGTTCAAGTTGCAGAGTTGTAGTAGTGGATGATAGTATAAACATTAACATCATAAATGCGTATACAATCAGCAGATTCTGATTCAGAAATTGGTAGCTTAATATAACCTTTCATGCCTTAATTATACAAACGACTTGTCCCAGGCAGGTTCGTGACATAAAAGACACGTCGTATGAGGGAAGGTGGGTTGTGCAGAGGCGGCAAATGGTCAGTGAAAATCCACATAACTCGCCACTAATATAAAGAGGCTAAACAGTGCTGTTGTAGTAGTAGTGGACTAGTAGTAGCAGCCCGACGTTTCAGCCTCTGAATTGACTTGGTTGGTTGGTTTATATAAAGAAGGGAGTTTTCTTTTGTATTTGTTGAAGTTAGAATATACGGAGTGATGAGAGCGAGATTGGTTGTGTTCCCAGTAAAAGGCAGGAACTGGTGCTTTAGCAGATCCATTGACCCTCTCGTATCTGAACCCGCTTCCTCTCTCACTCCCTCCACTTTCAAACAACTATGGCACCGCGTCTCTTCTTCCAAAAACTCCAACCATCTTGAACTCCTCACCGATTTCATTTCTCTCAAGGTTTCCATCTACCATTCTTCTTTTCTTTCTTTTATTCAAATGCTCATCTCATCTCATCTGTGTTTCTTTTTTTATAGATGAATAGAGCGTGGGTGGGTCTGGAGACGGCTCCTCAAGGGTCTTTAAAGAACAAGATTCATGGGTATATTTCACAGTTTTATTCTTATCTTTTTTATTGGATGGTGGTTTATATCTGATTTTTTGTTGGTGTAGGTTGGGATTGAAGCTGTTGGCACGGGTTAAGCCGTCTGAGATATTCTTGAAATCCATATCCAAGGAGGTTTCTAATCTTGAAGTTAATTACCCTTCAAGGTTCTTTCTCCTCTCTTTAACTCACCTTAATATGTATAACTGTTTATTTTCTTTAGCTGCAGTAATCAAACGAAATAGCAGTTTGATAGTTTATAAAATATATGTATACAGAAAAGAATTGAATTTGTTATTCGACTATGGAACTTACAATATTTTCACATTCAACCTACATTTGTTGTATTCAAGTTTTTTATGCCCAATACATGTTCTTTATTTCTCTATTCAGTCATTTGAGAAAGTGTTCAGCTGATGCATGTGATAGACTCTTTCTAGCTTTAGGAAAGATTTCTATTCTAGTGATAATGGCATATCTTGCACATGGCACTTCACTCTAAGAAGGGATACATGCATAGAACGATTTATAATCAGCATTCCAATTGCTTCTAAGTTTATTTTGGTGTCGTTATATTAAATTTCCACAACATTGCAGCTTAAATGCACGGCTGGTGCGTCGAAGGTTACGTCATATTGCCAGGAGGTAATGGTTTCTCTCATTGTTTATTTGGAATATTAATTGAAGTTGAGAAGGTGTTACAAATTTATCATCCTCTGAGGCATCAGATGCCTGAAATGTCTCAGTGGAATCTTTGTTTGTGAACCGTGTAAATGTACATCTATTTGGCTAATGGATCATTACTCAACTGTTGATCTTTTCCTATAAGTTGTTATATCTTTTGGAAGGAAATGACTTCAATTCATAGCCAGAGATTACTGATGTCTTTCTTGCTATTATTTTCCACGAACACCTTTGGCCATATGTGCAATGAATGATAATGATAGACATAGTAGTTTTTAAGCTATAGAAAAATTTAGCTAAGGTTTCTTTTAGCTGGAAACCTATAGACAGTAGCTGATTGATTCTTTATTGTTGTTAGTGTTATGATTGTCTTTTATTCTTACTTTTTTCTTTTCTTAAAGCTGAGCTTAAAGTTGCATTTAATATTTATTGAGATTGTATCAGATTTTTAAAAGTGTACTGTTTCTGTAATGTATCTGATTATCAGGGGAACCATCATTCACAAGAATTACTTGTATGGTTCAGTTTCTTTGCTTCCATTGACATTTGCATTTTCTGTAAGTATGTTAGTTTCAGAATTTTGTGCATTTTTGTAGTGTATATTCTTTGTCAAATGTGCTTTGTGACACTTTCTCACTTGTTCTCTCTCTTTATAGGTTTTGCCTCTGCCTAACATCCCATTCTTTTGGATCTTATTTCGCACCTACTCTCATTGGCGTGCTCTGCAGGTGTGCCTGACATTCATCATATAATGAATTTTGGATCATTTGCAAAAGTTTATAGTCAGACTGTGATATTTTTAAATGCTAACATGTAAAAAAAAAAAAAACTTACGTAAACCTCTAAGAGAACAGGTCATTCTTAGTAAAACTTTAACCCATAACAACACTTTTTATTTGGGTCCTGCATCACATTTTTCTTCAGCTACTAACACTAATTAGGGCAAGCCTTTATTGAAACGTTGGATGTGGTTTGTTCTCATGCTCTTTCCCATGTTTCCTAGTGTTTCTGTAACAGGTAATATAGTTGCATGTAGGCTACTCCAAGAGCCTTTTTTTTTTTTATTTCACACTGAAGTTAATTTTTGTCCTCCCTGTTTCTTATTACTCCTCATGAATCCCATTTTGTCATCTATTCTTCTCTCATACATAGTTACTTTGTTACTGTAGGGAAGTGAGAAGCTGCTCCTATTAGTCTCGGATCATTCAAAGTCTCAGAACTTGGTTGTTTCTAATACGAAGGCAAGTGAAGATGAGGGTAACAAATCTGAGAATGAAACAAACAAATTGCTTGCTTCTTCATGGGTAAGTTCTGCTGTGATCATCTGCCACTAATGGGTATCATTATCACATATTTTTAATTGTTATGTCATGACTCATGTTGATCTTAATAAGCACTCTGGTAAAGGTTGACTATTTATTGGGATTGTATGAGTTTTTAAGTTTTAAACTTAACTATGCATTTTGTCAAAAGATTTTTTTTTTCTTACTTGGAGCAGACTATGAGTTTTCTAGAGTCTTGAAATATTTTTGTTCAACAGGCTCATGGGCACAAATGAACTATACTAATGCTTATCTTCCTTTTATTGTTTTTTTGAATCTCTTCAGTCAAGCTGAGAATCATAGGGGGAATAGATTAGGCAAAAAGAAAATATGTGGTAGTTTTCTTCATTTAAATCTGTATTTTGGGAATCTATTTTTGGTAGAGTTATATCCCCTGTATAACCTTAAAACAAAAGATGTAGTATATTTTGCATACTCCATATGCTTATGCGGGACCATGTTCTATCCATTTCAAGGGATTGAGTTTAGAGTTTGTCAATTCTGCGTTTTTGAAATTGCCGACTTTGTTAAAACTTTTCGATATGTAGTGATCTCCATTCAGCTTCTTTCTTTGATAATTTGTTAGTTTGGAAGATGAAAATGGATATAGCATTGAAGTAGTTTATATTTTTGTGTGGCATATATTTCTCATTGAAGTAGATACTGAATGTGAAATGGCTTCTTTCTGCATTTCTAATCTATTTCCGTCTGTCTAAATAGGTGTTGAAGCCATCCTCAGAACTTGATGAGCTTGTTCGTTGCGCAGTCAAAGACGATGGCCTGAGTAAATGTGTGATTTCAGAAATCTGCAAGATCTATAAGTTGCAAACAATTGATGTTCTTAAGTACAGGGATTCAATGTAGTTGACAATGTTTTGTTTTGCCATCCAAGTGTAACATAACTGGGTCAGATTTCCATGAAACTAATACCAATTCATTCTCTCTGGCTTTCGCCAATTTATGCATCATTGGAGATTGGTTGCATAAGATAGTGTCATTTTGGGATATTTTGGAAGAATTTTTTTTTTTATTTTTCTTTTCTTCTCCTTATATTATATAGACACTTCTGTAGCTGAAGTCATTACTTCTCAGTTCTCCCTTGCGGCAATGAAATTAATTATTCAATCTATAGACCAAGTTAATGGAGGTTTATGTGAATAAATATAAATTAACAAAAGAAAGAGAGGGATCAATACTAAAACTAGGCAAATAGATATTCAACGTGACCCGTCCTTGGATAGTCTAAATGATTAGAGCGAATTGAGGATTAGGCATGGCAATGGGCCCCAAAATTTTGGGGCTCCGTCCTGACTTGTCCTGTATGGGGTGGGGATTCTTCGATTTTTTCGGGGATAGGGGCGGGGACGGGAGGAGTTTTAATCCCTAGCCCCAGGGATTGGGAGGGGGTAGAGGTTGCCCTTCCACCACCCCGCCTCGCCCCGTTAATATATATATACTTTTCATTAATACTCCTATATATTTTACCTAATTACACAATTATTCTTCTTATATAAACCCCATATTTTTCCAATTTCTCACAACCTAAACAATTGAACAAAAATAAACCCTAACCCTTAAGTCTTAAACTTGTTGCCAATGCCATTCGCCCTTAGCTGACTTCATATTGCCATTCGCTGACATTGATTTGATCTCTCCGATTCGGCCAAACTTTAACCAAAGGTAAAATTAACGGGCGAGGACGGACCTCCAACATTCCCCATGGGGCGAGGATGCAAAATTCTTGTCATCCTTGCAATGGGGACAGGGTGGGGGTGCGAAGTGATTTTGAGGGTGGGTATGGGGACGGTGAATGAAATCCCTGCCCCACCTTGCCCCATTGCCATGCCTGTTGAGGATAGTGTAAATATGTATAACTTTGCTTTAATGGAATAAAACAACAATAATTTAAACATAAGTAATTAGGATATTAATTAGAATTAGTAGTTTCCTTTAATTGCCAAGCCCAAGACTAAGACTAAGCCCAAGCCCAAATCAAAGTCCAAGCCCAAGCTCGAAAGTCGGTCCACGTAGTCTCTTTCTTCTTTCTGCTTATTAAATGGAAAATTTAAGAAGCAGGACTTAAATTTCTCTTCTCGCTAAAAGGAAGCTTTGGTGACTCAACTCCCAAGCAATCTGAAAAATCATGGCACCGGAACCCGAAGATGAGATCAAGGACGAGAAGAACCCTAGACCTCTTGATGAGGACGACATCGCTCTTCTCAAAACCTATGTATGCACTCCTTCTTTCTATAACCCTAATTTTCTTTTAACTCATTTGGTGGATCTGGTTGTCTTGCTTTATTTCGTTAGGTAGTAGACCGTATCGGTCTTAATATGTTGATATCTCGAGTAGTGATAGCACAGGATAGTTGAGAAATTTGGGAAATTTTATATGAATTTTGTTTTGCGTTTTGCGTTTTGTTGTTTAATGTAGGGTTTAGGACCTTACTCGAATAGCATTAAGAAAGTTGAGAAAGAAATCAAGGATATGGCTAAGAAGGTGAACGACTTATGTGGTATCAAGGAGTCTGACACTGGCTTAGCTGCACCCAGCCAGTGGGATCTTGTTTCTGATAAGCAGATGATGCAGGAGGAGCAACCTCTTCAGGTTGTTAATTTGTATATTATATTTCACTAATTTCATTTCCCTCTTTCTTGTGTTTCTGAAGTCTTAAAGCTCCTTCTTTTTGCCATCTTTTTGACTAGGTGGCAAGGTGCACCAAGATAATCAATCCTAACTCTGAGGATGCCAAATATGTTATTAATGTTAAGCAAATTGCTAAGGTATATTTTAGCTTTTGCGGATTCTTTTTCTGTCTTGTTATACTGAATACCATATGTGTTTGTCCAGATTGTGTAGTTTTTGTTCTATGTTTACTTTTGTTTTTACCTTTTTCCGTTGAAGAATGTAACTTTGCTGAATTCAGTAACTCTTTTNGCTCTTCTCAAAACCTATGTATGCACTCTTTCTTTCTATAACCCTAATTTTCTTTTAACTCATTTGGTGGATCTGGTTGTCTTGCTTTATTTCGTTAGGTAGTAGACCGTATCGGTCTTAATATGTTGATATCTCGAGTAGTGATAGCACAGGATAGTTGAGAAATTTGGGAAATTTTATATGAATTTTGTTTTGCGTTTTGCGTTTTGTTGTTTAATGTAGGGTTTAGGACCTTACTCGAATAGCATTAAGAAAGTTGAGAAAGAAATCAAGGATATGGCTAAGAAGGTGAACGACTTATGTGGTATCAAGGAGTCTGACACTGGCTTAGCTGCACCCAGCCAGTGGGATCTTGTTTCTGATAAGCAGATGATGCAGGAGGAGCAACCTCTTCAGGTTGTTAATTTGTATATTATATTTCACTAATTTCATTTCCCTCTTTCTTGTGTTTCTGAAGTCTTAAAGCTCCTTCTTTTTGCCATCTTTTTGACTAGGTGGCAAGGTGCACCAAGATAATCAATCCTAACTCTGAGGATGCCAAATATGTTATTAATGTTAAGCAAATTGCTAAGGTATATTTTAGCTTTTGCGGATTCTTTTTCTGTCTTGTTATACTGAATACCATATGTGTTTGTCCAGATTGTGTAGTTTTTGTTCTATGTTTACTTTTGTTTTTACCTTTTTCCGTTGAAGAATGTAACTTTGCTGAATTCAGTAACTCTTTTCTTTTTTTTTTTTTTTAAATGAATTTTTACATAGTGTAAGTATATTTTGGTGCTGTTTCATCTTGAATCAAATTTGAGTATGAATTTATTTGATTTTTATTTGTCATAATGTCATATATGTGCATGTTGGGCCTAATAACTTTTACTAATTTGGCTGCAGTTTGTTGTTGGGCTTGGCGACAAAGTTTCTCCTACTGATATCGAAGAAGGCATGCGTGTGGGGTAAGTTTCCAACTTATCAATGAATAGCTCTAGACTTCCTTCTTACTCTACTTTATGTTGATGCACATTTCGAGGTACTTGTACTCTTTTACTCATTGACTATATATCTCTTGTTAATTTGACCAGTATTCTGTCATTGCAGGGTTGATCGGAATAAATATCAGATTCAAATTCCCTTGCCTCCAAAAATTGATCCAAGTGTGACCATGATGACAGTGGAGGAGAAGCCGGATGTGACATATAATGATGTCGGGGGTTGCAAGGAGCAAATTGAAAAGATGCGAGAAGTTAGTTTTGTGTTTTTTAATCTTGTTTATTACCTTTATCCTTTTTTTTTTTTTGGTTAGAACATTGAATGAATATAAATTATATGGCCAACATTAAAAATATAGAATGAATTTGGAGTTGTATTCAGAGATAAGTTAGATATAACTGTTGCACATGGTGCTTATAACAGTGAGTTTGGTTTTGTCTAGGTTGTTGAGCTACCCATGCTTCATCCTGAGAAATTTGTGAAACTTGGTATTGATCCCCCAAAGGGTGTTCTCTGCTATGGCCCTCCTGGTACAGGTAAAACACTTCTAGCCAGAGCTGTGGCTAATAGAACTGATGCATGTTTCATCCGTGTTATTGGAAGTGAGCTTGTTCAGAAATATGTTGGTGAGGGAGCTCGAATGGTTCGTGAGTTGTTTCAGGTTAGAAGCTGCTCCATTACATTTAAATAGTGTCTGAAGGCCTTGAAGTTATCTATGATTCCTTTTGCTTGTTACCTGACTACTATGTTGTCCCTTGCAGATGGCACGTTCAAAAAAGGCTTGTATTGTGTTTTTCGATGAAGTTGATGCTATAGGAGGTGCACGTTTTGATGATGGTGTTGGCGGTGATAATGAGGTCCAGCGTACAATGCTTGAAATTGTGAATCAACTTGATGGGTTTGATGCTCGTGGAAATATCAAAGTCCTAATGGCGACAAACAGGTTAATTTTGCTAAACTTGCATATGATACTTGTTTTGTGAGTAGTTTCAGAGCGCCTATATATCCTTATCAGCCTTGTTTTAACCCCCTCCATGAATGTGCATACCTTTGTTGTATACGTGGAGTCATATACTTTCTTTTGCTTTCCTTTATTTGTGTGTACATGCATGTATTCTTTAGTGGGGTTTTGCAGTTTGGAGGGCAGCAGATGGGTTGCTCCTCCTTCAAGTCTGCATAATTAGTGAAGAATTTTAAATTGAGCATCATAAATTTGTTATTTTAACTAGCACCAGTATCTGTTGCTTTCCATAATGCTTTGCTTACAATGGGCTTGATGTTCTCTTTTTCAGGCCTGACACTCTTGATCCTGCATTGTTACGACCAGGACGGTTAGATCGTAAGGTTGAGTTTGGCCTTCCTGACTTGGAGAGCCGAGCACAGATATTTAAGATCCATACACGAACAATGAACTGTGAAAGAGATATCCGATTTGAACTCTTGGCTCGGCTTTGCCCAAATTCAACTGGTAAGTAATCTGTCTTTGGGGAATTTTCTCACTTTTCTAATAGTATAGTTATGTTGCGAAAGGGATTTATGTTATGTGCGTTTTATTGATGTCATTGAGATATAATATATTCCACACGGCTCCTGTTGATGTATGTTTGTGTTTCTCATTTGGTCAATTGGTATTCTTTCTTAGGAGCTGATATAAGGAGTGTATGCACAGAAGCTGGTATGTACGCCATCAGGGCGAGAAGGAAAACAGTGACAGAGAAAGACTTCCTTGATGCAGTGAATAAGGTTATTAAGGGATACCAAAAGTTCAGTGCAACCCCGAAATACATGGTCTACAATTGATTCTGCGGCTCACATTCTAGACCGTCTGCTTCCTGTTTCATCCATTTCAATATCTGTTGTCTAAACTTGTGCTTGTGCTACATCCTTTCTGCTTAAGGAACATTTTGTATTTTTCTCATAATTGTCCGGATTTACAATTTATTGGAACTGTATTTAGTTACTTTTACCTTGACTCTTTTCCATTGGAGTTTACTTATATGAGCATTTATGATTTCTAGGTCTGTAAACGAGATAAGCCGAGTTTTTGGCTAATTGAGCCTGACTCATGTTGTACAGGACCGAGTTTGAGGTCAAGCTTGGTAGCTTGAGGAAGCAGGCTCGAGCTGAGGCTTGAAAACTTTTATATATGTTCGAGCTCGAGCCGGCTCAACAGAGAACAAAAGTGAAAGGCAAATTTCATTTACCCAACAACATAGTAACCCAAGCAAAAATTCATTACACCACCAAATTTCATTAAAAATACACATCAACGGAGAAAGGCAAAAGAGAGCGAAAACAATATCCAACAACACAATAACCCAAACAACAATTAATCAAAACAAAAACAAATTTTAACCAATCAGAGAGAGATCGGAGATTTAGAAAATATATCTTTAAAGAAGTCATAGGCTAAAGCCACAAAAGCGCAAATAGATTACACCCGTACTCGTGGCCTCGTGGTGACTCTAGAATCATGAATTGTCAAGATTGGAGAGAAAGTCGTCGTCTTCAGCGAAGGGGACGACGAGATGAAGCGGTCAGCGTTGAGATTTGCTATGTGTCAGAGAGAGATGGGAGATTGGGGATTTAGGGATTCCATGTTCTAAGGTTCTTACTTCTCACGTCCTCTCGTTATTTAACTTCAATTTAGGGGTTTCAATTTGAAATCGTATTTATTTATTACGTTATGTGTTATATTTTAGGGATTAAAAAGTCATGATAACGAACATATACCCCGGTACTTTCTAAAATGGCCTATACACCCTCAAGAGCCGCTCAAAGCTCGCGAGCCTCTCGAGCCAAGTCGGCTGCAACTCGAACTCAACTCAAGTTGTTAAGTGAGCAGCTCGTGAATAGACTTGACTCGGCTAAAGCCAAGTCGAGCATGAGCTTTCGCTGAGCCTAAGCTGTGGCTCGACTCGTTTGACAGCCCTTTTATCCCTTGATCTTTTTGGTTCCCCCCCTGAAGATAAGTGGCTCATGTTGCAACTTACAATTAGAGAGAACCGGCCCAATAAATCTCTGTTTTAAAAACCGGACCGAATCGACCGGTCGGACCGGTTGGATCAGGAACCAGTAGCTTCTCCGGTCCGGTTTAGGTCTCACGGCGGTTTTTGAAATATTTTAAAATTATGAGGGTTATTTTGTAATTTTATAGGGGTTATTTGAAGATATATCAAAGTTTAAAGATTAATTGGTAATTTTATTGGGGCATTTTTAGAATAAATAAAAATTTTAGGGACCAATTAAACTTTTTAGGAGAATTTTTGTAATATATTGAAATTTAAGGGGTTAATATATAATTTTTTAAAAATAAAATATTGCTGACGTCATCGGTCCAACCGGTTGGACCGATTGAACCGTGACCCGAACAGCAAAACGGTTTGCCCTCTGGTCCGGGTTTTAAAACAATGCAATAAATATCATCACAAGCAATTACAGGGAAGTAAGGATTATTTTCTTTACGTGATCATTAAATATTAAACATATCTATAATTATTAAAGAATATTATATATTTCTTAAAATTAAAAAAAAAAAAATCTCTAAATTATTAAAAACACTCGGTAGGATTATTAGAAAGTCTCAAAAGAAACACTACCAAAGGGTAAAAAATTGTAACAGAAATAAAGAAGCACCATCAAATGGTATTTATTATTATTGTTTTTTTATATAGGGAGTGTGCTCAATCTTAATTAATTGATAAATCCATCCTATATTCGAGTGATTCAAGCTATTTCAAATATAATAATAATGAGAGGCAAAAGTAAACATAGCAAGGGGAAAGAATGAATGAAGGTGCAATTATTGAGTATTGAGCAGAGTCAGAAGTAGAAGTTGTTCAATCATGTAACATATTATTAACACATGGAAACAACTGGGTATCATATGGCACAGCAGCAAAAGGACTAACTAAGAGAAGTAGGATTATGTTCCACAGTAAATGTAAATAAGAACCATAGCATAACAGAGCAAAATTATCTAAGACATGTAATCCTGTGTATCTTGATTGTCGCCTCGCTGGGATCCTCCTTGCTCATTTCCAATTGTTCTTCTGCTCATGTTAGCTCGCTGAACTAACCGAACCAATGCTTGTACCACTTCTGACATTGGGGGTCTAAATTCTGGCTCCGGCTGTTGCACATGAGTGTATCAAAGGATCAGAACCTTGTTTCAATAAGTAGCTGATGCAGTAATAAACCTAAATACTTATGCATTACCTGGACACAAAGAGCAATGACATCTGCAAACCGGGAGAGAGATTTGACTGGATAGAGCCCTTTGAGAGCTGGATCGACCATTTTAGCAAGTGCATCAATGTCATGCAGCTGAGGTGTTGCCCATCGAACCAAAGATTGCTCAGATCTTGGCCTTGAACTGCCAAATTTAGTACACGTAATAACTATTAGCTAAAAAGATGGAAAAATTGTACTAAATAAGGCGACTGCCACATCTTTTGCATGTAATTACTTTACCTGTCAAATGGTTTACGTCCAGTAAGAAGCTCCAACATGACAACCCCAAAACTATAGACATCACTTTTTATGGTATATTGACCAGACATGGCAACCTCAGGTGCACCGTATCCAGCACCTGCATTATTGTTCAACAACTGCATACAAACAAAGGAACCAAAAGTTTTGGCATCAGCAGAGTTGAAATTAAAGACACAATACAAAATTCAAAATTACGGTCAACTCAATTATATAGCCGGTGAGATTAGCTATTTTCTATTAAGTAGTGAAAAAGTAGCATAATGCAAAGACCAACTAGCATACAAGCACATGATGAAGGGGGAAAATTCACCTGATCTGCATTAGGCATAAAGCTGCCCATGCCAGAGTCTGAAAGGTGAGGATTGAGCTCGGTGTCCAGTAATATATTGGCTGACTTAATATTTTTGTGGACAATTGATGGGGAGCAAACTTCATGCAGGTACCTGAAAAATCCCTTCTTGAGTTCGAGGCGGTTCAATCACAAACAGCAGAGACAAAAACAATATTTGTGAAGATCTGATTGATCTGGGAGATGGACTATCAATCTAAATCCCACAGAGCAGTTTCTAACTTCCAGCAACTAATTCTAGTAAAAGATATGGAATAGACTTTGGGGAGTCACAAGCTATAAATATAACAGTTTCTTGCAATATACTGATCTACCCTCAGCAGTTATTAGGTCTACAATGAACTAATTGATAAGACTTTTATCAGGGAAATTATTAAAATAGAAGGGACTAAATTGGAATCCTATGGTAAAAGATAAGAAATAGTTCTCTTCCAGTTTCAGCTTTTTCAAAAGGAAAAACAATTATTGTTCAACTTACTCCAATGCACGTGCAGTCCCAAGAGCAATCTTAACACGGGTGTTCCATATCAGAGGTTTGCTGTCTTCATCTGATAGATGCAGGAAGTCATGCAGGGACCCATTTTTAAGGAACTCATAGATTAGCAGGTGCTGTCCATACTCTGAACAGTAACCCACCAGCTCCATTACATTTGGATGATGCAACTCAGAGATGTTTGAGACAATCTCTGGAAAATCTTCGGACATTTCACTGGGAAAAGCAGATGAATCTATTTTCTTCACAGCAAGAACCTAAACATTGTTAAAAGGATGTAACAAGTTAAAACATTTTCAATACACTTGAGCCATCAACTGAGACAAGACAAATAAAAATAGAAAGTCAACTTATTGATTCATGCAGCATATTGTGGCAAAACATTCAGCAAAGTTAGTATTCCATCTTTAAAATGACATGGGAAACTGATAAAATGCCCTCACCAAACTGATAAGTAAGAAAAGTATACCTTCCCATCATCAAATTGTGCTCGATAAACACGTCCAAAAGTGCCCTCACCAAGAAGGTTTTCGACATTGAAGCTTCCAGTAGTCATCTGCAAGTCAGCTATTGAATATGCTGTCACATTTGTGGGAGTTGTAATAGCTTTCTTGACAACAATGGGCTTCTTTGAAAAATCATCTTCATCAAATGATTTATGACGATCAATTGGAGGGGGTCGCAGATTTATCGAGGCAGAAGTTTCAAAGGTTTTCGTGTTGATTGCAGAGGAAGTTTGTATAGACTTCATTTCTGCATTACAATGGAACAAATATTAAAAGCCAAACAAGGACCTGGAGGCAAAAAAATTAGCTACAATAGACATGAACATGGCAAGATCAGAGAAGAAAATATATACATGATAACCTAGAATATTAAGTTAGACTAAATCTGAATGCACTGCTATCACTACCATCCCAAACTCCATTAAGTTGAGGTGTAATTCATTTATGAATGTCTTGGAAATATTTTGTTACTAATTATATTAAAAATAAAGATCCAAAGTGAAACACTCCTTGTAAATGGAAATCAAAGAGAAGAAAAAAGAAAAAGGAACTATGTTTCCTGAAATATAAACATCTCAAATCTCCCAAAACCATGGATAACTTGGATTTAAAGACATCAACAAATAAGCATTGAACCATGAAGCCAAGCATCAGTAAAAGATAGAATGTGTCTTCATTGGCTGTTCAATGCTTCCAGAAAGGATTGTCAGCTTCCCTGCGGTCAATTTGTAACAGATGGATGAATTATTTTAACCTCCTGGGAAACATGCAACATTGTCATTCTCATATTTTTTGTTAAGCTAATTCAATGACCGACTCCCTTGCTAATTTAGGGATATCATATAATTCTCTCTAAAGGTGAGAAGCCCTCCAATGAGTATTCAAAGAGAGCTTCTACAAAACTCTGGGGAATTTAACATTTTCGATTCCATTAATGATTTAATGGTGCCTACTTTATAATTTTTAATATTCTGTAGTGACTATGTCTAATACTCTCTTTGTATTCCTTCTTTGTTATCACTAAAAATATAACTCTTAAGAATTTGCTCAAGAAATAAATAATTTAAAGTCAACTCATCAAATGGTAGGAAACAATTCATCAGGGAGAAACTTGACTCAAGGTAAAATGTGGATCTTTTAAAAATAAAGCAAAACATAAAACAAGAGGATGTGCGTAAATATGGTTACCTTGTACTTCATTAGAAGCAAGGGGAGCAAAGGGCTGATTATCAAGCTTTTCTATATCCAAAGATGACTTCCTGGATCTTCTTTTCACCAAAAAGAATGCTATTATTGCCCCAACAACAATTATGGAAATCAGTATCCCTGCTATGCCACCACCCCCTATTCCTGATTTGCTGCTACCACCGCTATTTGATGAGCTGTTATCACCACTGTCTTTGTGTTTTGGGCTATTTTTGCTGGCTGGAGGTGTACCTGGTGGAGGTGGAGGGGCTGGTCCAGAGTTAAATGAGTTACCATCCTTCCTGTCAAGAAGATGATTTGGATGTAAGTAACTTCAATCTTAAAGGACAAACAACAATCATAACAAATGATAACACTGCCAAATGCTTACTGTAAATTAATGTTTTTCAACTGTTCAGGAATCCAGCCTGTGAAATGGTTATTTGCGATGTTCCTAAGAAACACAAACACAAATAATTCAAATGGCCATATTTCAGGACAAGTGGGAGGAAAGGATAAATATAACTTTTCTGCTATTCATTGATATACTGGATACCCACAGATTATCAAGCGGTAGATTGGCAAGAACATTAATAGGACCAGTAAACTGATTGTTCTGCAAATACCTACACAAGTATGAATAAGATAAATTAGAAGGGATCAAAACTATAAATATGCATTTACAACACAGAAAATAACCTCTTCTTCACTTACAGTGAGCTCAGACTTGAGAGGGAACTAAAACTTTCAGGCAGGTTACCTGTCAGAGAATTGGAAGAGAGATCCCTGAAGAATACAGGAAAAAAATATGGTCACAAGGTCATTCAGCACACCAATTTGAAGTATTTCAAACAATTTATTGTTCAGCTAACTGAGGAGGTAGTTAGCATTAAAAAAAAAAAAAAAAAAAAAAGATTTCAGGTCTGCTGAAAGTACTTTTTTTTACAGGAATATGGCAAAGCAGGACATGTACCCCAAATGTATGGTTAAAAGTAAATTCTTTGAAAGAAACAAAGAGAGAGAAAAAAAAGATCTCACAATGTAGAGAGAGAAGAAAGTTGTCCAAAAATGTCATTTAGTTGACCCTGAAGGTTATTGTGAGCTAGATTTCTGCAACCCAAAAGTTCAAAGATTAATGAATAAATAAATTGAAACAAAAGAGATTATGCTTTACCATGTAAGTTGTGGCAAAGCAATTATACTAAATAATCAAAAACTGCAAAGCCACTCACATGTACTTAAGGGAAGTCTTTTGGGAAAGGGAGTAAGGGAGACTTCCAGTAAATTGATTGTTTTCAAGATTTCTGCATACAAAAGAACATCTAATGTAAATAATTAAAAAAAAGAAAAAAGAAATCAGAAACAAGACCATCAAAACAGGGAAGAAAAAATATGCATGTAAGAAACATACAATCGCTGCAAGTTTTGGGGAATATTATAAGGAATGTCACCTCCAAGATTATTATTGCTCATATCTCTGCAGTATTTCATCAAAGCAAATTATCAGAGTAATCATATATTTACATCTACATATAAGAATCAATACAGACAACTAAAATGTTGAAGTTCTAGGTCCCTATGAGAATTCACCATGCATGTTAACCAAGAAAAAGGAGAGACTAGAAGAATATTAATCTTACAGGTTGGTTACCGAGGTCAAACTTGAGAGCTGCCAACCCCATTGTCCAGTGAGACCAAGATCTGATATTTTGCTGACAAAAAAAAAAAAAAAAAAAAACAGAATATATACCCAAATTCAGCACTGATTATGACATCTGAAATTCACAATCTTGAACAAAAAAAAAGGGGAAGAAAATCACATTTCTGTGACTCGCTGGCCTGAGCAAGTAACTCCTCTCCAAGACTGCCCACATGGATCATCGCCAGCCCACTGGTTGAGCTGACCAGGTGAATTTAAACTGCTGTACATGGTCTTTAAAGCAGAAGCTGTTTGCCAAATATGCAATAAATAGGATAAATATATAGTTTACCATTAGAAGCATTTTAATTAAATTAACAGACTAGTCCGAAAGTTTTCCACATGGCTGTTTTATTAAAAGCAGTAGACAATAGCTTCTAGTACAATAGCTTTCTAGGACTCTAAAGACGTCAAAGTATAAAAGCTAAGGATTCAAGTTGCCCTTCCCGGGATAAATATTCTATCGTGTGGGAGACTTACTCTAATAAGTGGAAGAAAAATTTTTAAGCAAAACATTTACGGTCATCACATTGAAAAGTTTAGTATTTCCTATCTACTTTCTTCTTTCATATGGATTACTGTAGTGCCTTCTTCTTTATTGTATAAAACTTATGTATGTGAAAAGGCCATAAAGGATGTCCCTATTTTCATAAGTCCAAAATCTCTCTCCTTATCCCTGTTTCTTCTAGAGTTGAATCAACATCATGTAATACAAATGTAGAAGATATAGCTTCATGGATCAAAGGAGTTTCTTTTCTACATCTACATGGTAGGGAATTCCTAATAAAATCTTTTAAGCGGAAGCCCTGGTGTCCTTTATCGTAGGCTTTGGGTCGTGGCTTTAGGCTCAATCTCTCTAAAACGTTCACAATATGCTTTCAAATCAAAATCCTCTAGGTGCCATATTTCATAATTAGCATCATTACTCAGAAAACCTGTGCAAATTCAATAAGCATTCAGAAGGGTGGGGGATGGAACTTACGCCTTCCCTATCTGATAGATAGCAGAATTGGGCAAACAAGGAGGCATTTTTCTTCGGAAAAAAAAGGTAAAAGCAACTCCAACAGAGAAATTTCCTTCCTAGAATTAATGTTGCACCTCAATCACTGCTTGCGGTTGTTTATCAAGTAAAATATAAGAGATTGGACACCTCCTTAATACTTACCGATTATCTATAGATATCTTCAATGAAAACCCCCATAGTGATCATCCTTACTCTCTCAAACACCCATCTCCCACAATAACGAAAAGGAAAGCTTAAATTTTTAACCCTTCAACAAACTAGTACAGTGGCTTACGTGATTCAAGGGGATTTAACAACCAGATGTAATAAGATAATTAACCGGAAAATTAACAATGTCAGAACCCAAAACTTACTGCATAACGTACAATACGAAACAAAATGAAGAGCTTCAGTTCCTTAAATCAGTTGCATCTAATAAAAGAGCCCACTTTCCTAAAATTGGAAGTTTTTAAAGCAGTTTGAACAAAAAGTAAAATGTACAAATGCCTAAAAAATGTGTGCATCAACTATAAGCCGTAAGCCAGACCATTCCAAACTCCCATCCCCCCAACCCAAAAAGAGAGAGAGAGAGAGAGAGAGATGTAAATCAGTAGCAGGTAAAAAGCTACACAGAAATGCAGATTTGTTTCAAATCTAAAGAGAAAAAAAGTAGGAAACGGGTGAAGAAAAACTAACTATCGTTGGGATTTGTAGCAGCATTGATGCAAGAGGGTTTCCATTCCAAAATGCACAGAATCAACCATACAAACACCAAAACTCTTCTCCATTTCTCCACCATTGTGACTGGGATTTGAACGGAAATGGTGATTCCAAGCTTTTTTGTCGTTAAAATGTTGATATTCGATATATTATTCTACTTATTTAGCCATACCCAAGTGAAAGCTGGCAGGCACGATTTGCCAGAAGAATCCAAAGCCACAGAATGCTTACGCTTTTATTTATATTTTATCAGATAAAGAAAAGGAAAAATACCATCTTGGTAGGTGTATCCACTGTATATACTGTAAAAAAATAAAAGTTTTCTTTTGTTCCTTAAAGAAGGTGGTATATAAACAGTACAAGTAGTTTTCAGTAGGATCAGACGTGTTTGGTGATTGAATATATTAAAGAGTGGTTAAGAGAAGAGTAGCTTTCATGATGTTGATGATGATTCCATGACTTTAAGATTCAATCATTCATTACTTCGAAGACTAAATGGTGAGATTAATTAAATTTTTTACCAGTCACCAGACTTACCGGAAAGAGTCACGGGACTTCGGCTTCCGTATATCTAGATGTTTACTTTTTCATCTACTCTTTGGACAGTTAGATCATTCTTGATTACTTTGGATCAATTTGTCATTTTTTCAAAACTTGTGGGTCGTCCAAATTTTTACCCCGATCAATGTCGGAAAACTTATCAGTATTTTTACTTTAATGATTTGGGTTTGGTTCGGCATATAACAGAAATTTAAGGGGTTGATAATTGTATAAATTAGAATACAAGGAAAGGAATCCTTATCTTGGGGCCTATTTAATTAATAAATCCTTTATTTTATTAAGTGGGGACATATCTAATTTTAGACCATTATTTAACATGTTGATTGATTACCTTCCAATAGATATATGGTCAATTACCAAAATTTTTACCAAACTCATTCTAAATCATTTTTCTAAGCCTATTTAATTAATCATATCGTGATTGTCAAATCGTATATCATATTATATATCAAAAACTTAATTTTTTGAATCGTACATCGCGTATCGTATCGTAAGATATGCTTTTTACAAAAAAAAAATAAATAAAAAATATAAAAAATTTCTAAAAATTAATATCATCTCCATGATTAATTAACAAATTTTATGGTATTATTGGTTTTAAATTATGATATTACATAATCAAAATTAATAACAAAATTAAGAATCTATATCATTTCCTCTCAACCATTCATATCATTTTTAAGATCAATGTCAATATTTATATCTCCATTTGTGTTATTATTATCATGTAAAATGAGTAACACATCTTCCTTTTCACTTTCTCTATTAAAAATAGGTAAATTTGGGCAGTTTTTAGTGAATTGGGTTGGGTGACCCAAATTCGACTTAAAATTTTTTTTAGAGCTTTGGCTCAAATTAATAAAGTTGTATCAATATTTTTAAGGATACAAACAGATACATATCGTATCTTAGGATACATATCAACGTATCGAAAGATTTATGATACACTATCTGATACGTATTGTTGGCAACCCGTATCGAATCGTATCATATCGTAGGATACTAACAACTATGAATAATATGGTCATATCTCCCAATAAATCCTTTGTTTTATTGAAGTGGTGACATACAAAACACAACCCATTTCTAATTTTAGACCATATTAGAAGCATAATAATAAAATAATTTAACATGTTGATTGATTACCTTCCAATAGATATATGGTCAATTGCCAAAACTTTTACCATAAACATTCTGAGTCATTTTTCTAAGCCTGTCATTGTTATTGTTGGTGTTGGGTATAATAGATGAAGTTGGCAATATTTGATTTGGTATAATTATAGATGTAATCAAATTCAACTATGTATATATAAATTAAATATGGGTTGAAAGGGGCTTTGGGAATTAAGAGGAGGTTCTTCATCTTTGAAGGAATGACAAAGACACCCCACCATCGATTTATAAAATAAACCATGGTTGACAATTAAGTGGAATAATTTATATCTCTCAACTATGACGTTTAGGGTAACACATCATTTTAGACCCACATATTTCTATAATAAGACAAAAGGCAATTATATAATCCTTTCATAATAAAAGTTATAGATTTGAAAATAGTTGGGTTTTAGTTTTTGTCTAAAACCTTGGGGGGGTGAGGATGTAATTATTCTACAAGTGATTATCAGTGAGTATTTAAGGAGAGATTGTTGGCGATGCCATGTGGCGTAAAATAAGAGACAGGTTGGCTGACACAAACTCCACGTAGGGCTTCTGTCGGTTGTCGGTGGCGCTTTGACTCTCTGTTTCTTTCCTCCTCCATAGTCCCAAACAATCAAATTATTAAAGATTGTATGTCTCATTTTCTTTGGTAAGAAATTGAATCATATTAAGTTAGGCCGGGTCTTTTATATATGAATGCCAGATTAAGCTTAGCTGTAGAGTTGAATGAAACATAAAGCCGCGTATTGTATTTGCTCAGTCAAAACTCTGAAGTTTCGTTTGTTTTAGTATATTAGATAGTATTTTTGAAACAGTAAGATTAATTTATTAAATATCCTTGTAATAAAAATATTAAAAATTATAAAAACACTCCCAATCATCCATTAAATACCAATAGTCGACCACCATTGAGGGTAGTTAGAGTCGTCGTATTGACGCACGATCAGCTAGATATAGTCGGTCGTGCATCGAGAGGACTTTTTTCAGTCAGATTCACTGTGGATCTGACCAAAAAATATTAGATCTACAGTTAGATCTAGCCATGTTTGGTCGTCAACAATAGTCATATGTTAGCCGTCATTGACGAACAGTTTTGGTTGTAAATCTGGCATTTTCTAGCTAGATCCACGGTGGATCTAGCCAGAAAATGATAGATCGGTGCACTACCGGCCAGATCCAGCCGATAGTGCGCCATTATACTAGATTCCATCAACCTTTTGATGGTGGTAGCCATAATTTGGAAAATGTGGGTGCATGGGGGTATTTTTGTTAATTTCTAAACTTTTTGGGGGGATATTTAGTTAAATTAACAACTTAGGGGGTTTAAAAAACTGAATAAAATAAAATAGGGCTTTCATAGAAACAAATGTGTATTTTGGGTAGGATAGGGATAGGATAGTGCAAAAATAGTTAAACAAATTTCACTCTCAGCTACCCACCTTTCTACTCTCACAAATCGATATATACATTCGTATATATGAACTTGTTTGATAAATAAACTGATGATCATGATTGTTCCTTTAACCATGGAGGCTGATCATGCATCTCATTAGTTACTGCTATAAATGATTTGCCGTTGGAGCGGCTAACTATGTGGAGAATATAAGAGCTATATATATTTATATCGTGTTACATGTTCTTAGATAATAAACAAGGATGCATAGTCACATTGGTATTATATATTAAGAACTCAGATAATTGGGAGGGATGAATATTTGACAAGGCCAGCTTCATATATATATATATATATATGGATCATGCAAGCATGTATATGTGGAGAGTCAGGGAGATACTACATATATTTTTTTGAATATAATATATATATATGTATGTATTTCTCTGCTTCCTTTTGATACCCCACAGCTTGATTAGCCAGAAACGTAGCTTCTGGGCAATGTAGAAGAAGGGGCCAAGGACAACGTGAACAAGCATCTATGCACTTGAGACTTGAGAGAGAAGAACGTCTCGATTTCCAAAATGCATGTCCACGCATTCCCATTCATTTTCAGAATCTACCAAACCATAATGATTCGTGTATATATACCATCTAATAAAATTTTAATTTATTGTCAGATATTTTTATCTTTTTAGTTTACTGAGTGTTGCTGAAGGGCAGGTTTTTATAACTGAATCGGCTACAACAATAGGATTTGTTATCCATATATATATTGGTAACGTACCACTGAACCTAAAACGTTTGTCTTGTTTTCTGCACGAGGTAGGTGTAGGAGAGGCGTTACAAACCAAGACATTGATATGTAATAGTCATTCAACATTAAGATGTAGTAAGTCACTGGAGGGTTAATTAATAATTAATATGGGACTCATAGGAATAGGATGAAGCAGTTCAAGCTAGTTTGGTCAAATCAAATGAGTATCTACTGTCATATGCATGATAATTGGTAAAGCCCTTGAAATATACTGGCTGTGCGTTAATAGTGGGATTCATTCTCAATTTACACAACCTCACTGCATGCATTAACTACTCCGCAATCTCTCTAAGCTTGCTTTGATTCCTACTCTCTTTTCATTTCTTTTTCCAAGCTTAAGCTTATTAATTGAAGATCCATTTAATATATCTGGGCAAATCAGATTATTGATACTATTGTTTGCAACCAAGGTGATAAACTGACTCACTAGCTATAGTATTTATTTTAGTTATTGAGCATGATTCTTGCTTTATATTCTTAAACAAACTAAAACCGAAATTTGATTGCGAGAAATTATGTCATGGAAATGGAAGAGATGTATAATTTGTCAAGCAGCTAGTAGATTGCTGCAGATAATTATCTACACAAGCTAGTATGAAGTTAAGGTTGTTTTATTGCTCTCTTTCATGATATAAAGGATTTAATTTGTCTCATTCAATTATACAAACAAGAATCTTGGTTATCCACAAAGGAAACTCCGACGCTTTTACAAGTACTATGTAGGATTTAGATGGTCGGATGGGCCTGTACAAGGGCAAAAAGTTGGTGGAAGAAATTGCCCATTCTACTTCTGAGGAGACAACAGTTGAATTTGGAATTCGGGCTCTCTTAGGACATCTGTATTATGATCTCTGAGTTGGCTACGAAAACGCGTAGTTATTAGATGAATTGTGGCTTGGAGGATCATTGGAGGGCAAGCTACGATCTTAATCTATGTACATTCATTAAAGATAATGGGAAAAATAAGAGATAGACATAGCTCATGCCAAATTTAGCAATCTGATTTGTGTTTGCAATTGAAGAATATTATAAGTTGATGACATCACTCCTACATGACAAAGCAGGGCATAAAGAAAATGCTTAGAAAGGAAACGATTATATTAAATTGGAGATTTATTTTGCTGTGTTCGGCTGGGTGTGTTTTATGATGTGTGTTAGAGTTGAAATAGTGTGTGTATGAACTGCATTTTTGGGTTAGTTTTATGATTGTAAGGTGGCTGGAATGTTGGTGTTTTGGGGGTGAAATTGTGCGTGTATGGAGTGCATATTTGGCCAAATTATGCAGGTAAAGGTGGCTGTGATTTTATAT